GTTGCCGACCCCTGAGGATAGATGTTCAGAAAAAAAAACTGTTCTACCGACCGCTTCACTGTCTCCAACGTACTCAACTCAATAAGTGTTGGAGCACCACTGAAAGGTGGTTTGTTCACGAACTGAGCGTGAACCACAATGAAAAATTAAACTGTGCATACCGCCAATATATATATAGATCGTGATTGGTGGCGTATAAGGCACCTCAAGTAAAACAAAGAAAAATCAATACACGACGTTGTGTGGGTAAGAAGATGTTAAAAAGAAGAGACCAATGCGCAATATAAGCACTGAGGTCAACTCACTAATATGGCCATAATCTCATTAGGATACACCCAAGTCGAAGAACTGTCAAGCCCGAACCTCCAGCAAACTTATACTAAATTGAGTGGTAATAAATTGACTATCAGTTAAAAAATTTACACGCTGTACCTGCGGAGTAGCCATTCATATGCACGCGAAGTGCCTTAGCCGTGCACTCTACATTGTTGCAGTACAGCAACGCAAGATCAGGATAAAATCCATCTATCCACGAATTCGCTACCCAATACAGCTTACAAAATTGGTGTAGGCGATCACACTTGATAGGATTAAGAAAAAGATCACAGTAGGATGGGATATTCAGTTCAAACTTCCAAAAAAATCCATCTTTCATTCAACAAAATGAACAGCATACCCCAGAAATCGTTAGGTTAAAGTTTTTTGTCTCCGAATACAGAGACGATTTGGGGCATTGGTCCGATGTAACAAATTCTTTGTTAAACGCGTGGGTTCACTTTATCGCCACTAGTAAAACAAGAGAGCGATGCTCAATGGTACTACAATACAATACAATACAATACAGTAATATTAGATGTCGAAGAAGCTAACATCATCACCTAAAATTCAATTCCCACCTGCAGAACTTACAAAAGGCCTTGTTCTTATCATCTGAATGGGCAAATCATTCCTTAAGCCAATCTTTTCTAAATTTTTGCTGGTAGTGTATACACTTTGGCATTTTGAAAAGTTGATGTTTAAAGAGAGACACATTCAATAGCACTTATAGCAGTGTTTTTCAACCTTTTTGTCTTTGCGGACCCTTTTGGTGCTCTCAAAGCGGTCGCGGACCACTCAAAAGTATTTTATTCGAAATTTAGTTTATAGCTTAAACAGCAAACCAATGTTCCACACAGATTTAACCAAGTCAAAAATAACACCAAACTAGTGGAATTTCCATTTATTTTGTCAAATCCAATACACTCAATGGGATTCCTGCTGTTGCATATTAGAAGCAAGTCTTGAAATACGTGCTCGTGTTTTTGATAACGATAGACGCATATCGCCTTCGACGTTTAGTTGGTGACGAGCCTTGCATTTGATATGAACGAGAGCAGAAAATCCACTTTTACAAACGCAAGTGGAGGCGAATGGAACAATAACACATAATGCTTCCATCGATACGAGTACTTATGGGTAGGACGGCAAAATGGCGCACCAAAACGGAGAAAGTGATCACTGTAGCTGCGTTCTCGTATTCATCATTGTTCTGTCATAACTTGTTTTGTCACAATAGGTCTACGGGAGATAAATCAAAATAGTTTTTGTAGGCTATTGTCACATTGTCATAGGCAGCAAATGTTCGAGCGTATTACAAAAAAACAATATTGAACTGCAAATAATTTCCTAAAATCTTAATTTAATCGCGGCCCCCCCCCGGAAATGCTTCGCGGACCACAGGAGGTCCGCGGACCCTCGGTTGAGAACCACTGACTTATAGACTTAAATAACCTAATAATTTTAAAACCCCTTGGCAACAATATCATCGGATCAACGTCGTTCTTTCTACTTAACGTTAATTAAAACGTCACATGTTTTAAACATGTTTAATTCGTTATTCAAATATTTTAAGTACATATGGCTGTATGGTACTGGTGGACGAAAACAATATGAATGAGTTTTATCGTAAATATATACTGTTTTATCAATCTTACATCAATACTTCTATATAAAGAATTAATATTCATTCACCTATTACAGTATTACACACATCTCTTTATTTATTTCCCACTGAATAATATTTAGAACCTTGAAAAACATCTAGGCTCAAAATTTTACATCTAGATATAAAACATCTAGAGTGGCAGCCCTTCTTTTCAATACTGCTCATAACAGTGAACGGTCAAGTCTTTGTGGCGTAACAATGACAATCAGCAAGCGTGACGAGACAAGTTTGCCACAAAACTGGTGGATTAAGAATTGAATTCTCGAACATTTTTTTTTTGGGGGGGGGGGGGCATGGCCCCTCTGCCTCCCTCCCCCCCTGGCTACGCATATGCATAAATTCCTACTGTTACGTCATTGTTCAATTATTGCTGATTTCTAATTGTTACGGAAATAAACAAGGAAGCCGATGGTCTGGGAAACATCCATACCATTATAGGATATTGGGTAATTTTGCTGCTTTTGGTTAATAGGTTACGTGTTTAAACTTAAAGCCATTCTAATTTTAAAATTAGAAGCAATCTCTCAGTCATAAAATACGTAACAATTAGACATCCTGTAGGGTACGATGACGATAATGCATCATGCCCTGAGGATACCAAAACCACATTTGTTCCCTCATAAACAATTGTCCCCTAAAAATGGTGACCCGACAGATGAACCAGCGCCTTTTTTGAGATGGAGTCTGAAAAGCAACCGTTGGAACTAAAGGTGACTCCAAAGACATCAACTACACAAGCAAGCCGAGGATAAAAAGTTCAAGAAAATTGAAAAACAACAACCAAACCAAGATTCAGACAGTATAACGAACCAAGGAATACAAGCGGAGAACCAAAGACTGCGACAAAATGAAAAAGACTGTTAGATTCAAAAATGTGTATGACATTCACATTATATGGACTGTTATATAAAAAAAATGTGTGTGAAACATTCACACTATATGAACTGTTTCATACCGAAAAAAAACTGTAAAATTGAAAACTAGTCAGAATTTTTGACTACAAAAACAAATGAGAAAGATATGAAACGAAAGTACTTAAGGGCGCGATTGTAGCATTTATATTGTATTATAATTATTTCAATTTCTTTTACAAAATGGACAGACATTCTTTTTCTTCACAGGTATTTCATATATTTCTTCTTTCTAATCTTTAAGGCGTTCTATATTTGGTTCTAAACCCAACGAGGTTTACTCAAAAATATCTAATATAGCATATATACATTGCTCATTGCCTGAGGATACCAAAACCAGCATAAAAGCGACCAATCGTTAGGAGGGGCGATGGACAAGTAATTAACAAACTCGGGCCTGCAGTGCAACTTGGTATTTTAGTCTGGCTTATCAGTCATGACCTGGAACTGTCTTTTGTATTTGTAAATTATACAATTGCAATATATGTATTCGGAACCAGGAGTGTGTCTTCAAAAGATAAGATCAGAGAGCAACAGAAATAGCCAGAAATTACAGCAAATACAGAAACAAGAGAAAATACCACATTTGTTCTCTAAACCATAATCACAACGGGCAACGGCGCACTAAGCAAATCGTCGTGGCGCACGCTCTGGGAACCGCTGAGCTGCTGTACAGCATTTCACTCACGAAAGAATGTCTTACGAAACGCGCAGCGCTTAAAATGAATTGGCAGTTTCGATAACCAGCTCACTCAATTAATCACGCTGGTTTCTATACTTTCTATGTATGGTACCCGGCAGGGCTGCCATTTTAGATGCTTTATACTACATAGCTAGATCTAGATGTTTTGTTCAAGATCTAGATGTAAAATTTGGAGTCTAGGTGTTAGCTATGAAATCCAGATTTTTTTCAACGTACTAAATATTATCCATTGAGAAATAAAAAAAGCGATGTGTATAATGGGTAACAAACAAATTCAAAATTATATGTAAGGTTGATAAAACATAAATCTGTAAAGCATATGCGGATATGCCTTATATGAAAATCCAATTGATTTTTATCACAAAACTGGAAAGAACAATATCTGAATATAACTGTATAAAGTATTCTATACTTCTATATGCCAAAGTTTTCCCATCTTCAGTACGGTACGGTATCTCACATAAACCTGTAAACAGCTGAAATAGTGACTACGGTACCTGCAAATTTGACTGTTTTAAAAAGCGTGTCTTTGTTTTCTTTTTTTGTTAGCTCAGTAGCTGGTTAGCAAGATACTACATTCTATCACCTGTCATGAAACATAGCTATCCTGAAAAACATTATCAGCAGGGCAGAAGTAAATCCAAAACTATCTTGTAGAAGTTAGAAAGTGGAACAATAAAACAGAAACAGCAATGTAAGCCAGCAATGGTACTACTTCATTTAAACGCTGATGTTGAAAAAAAATAGTGCAATAAACTGAAAAAACAAACTAAGAAACAGCAGAAAGACAGATTCACTGAATGCATTACTAGGCATCATTAAATTTACCCCAACTGGAAATAAATTCTGCACGTCTTATATTAGGGGTAAGTAGGCTGTGCTTGGTATTGCATTCACGTTGGATATATAAGGTATGGTATATGTATTATCAGAGTAACCAATTTTTTATTAAATAACGCTTATAAAGCTAGCAAAAGAGTTGACTAACCCATTGACAACAGGCTGAGTGTGGGCTGGGGTACTGGGGTAACTCTGGTCTTAAAAGGAACCTGTTTCGGTTTCAAAAAATATGTACTGCAGAAACATATAAAAATCTCTCGGAAGCAACTGTAGCAAGAACATCTATTATACTTGAATTATCTTCGAAATCTACTATGGTGTAATATATTGAACTATTTGTACTCTCTTGTTTTGTTTATTTTTATTGAATTCAGTAACTTCATATTTAAATATGTTTTTTGGGGATGTTTTGTTTTTCAATATAGATGTCTTTTGAGTTCAAACTAGATGTTTTTATCCAGACAAGCGGGCCTCAAGTATCTGAGGGGATACTGGGCGACTAATGGCTCCTTCATTTTATTTTGTTATATAACCTAGTTGTACTAAATACTGAATATTTACACGTGACATTGACAGATACATAACCTAGTACTGTATTAGTCATTTATACACAATACTGCAATAGTCTATACGTTGAGTTGTGAACTGTTAATTAATACTGAAATATGAATTCATTAAGTTCTTTGAGGTCTCTTTTTTTAACAACACGTTTGAACCAATGCAGAAGACTATCTGTGGTTAACAAACTGAAAGAGGAACTAACATCTGAACAAGTTTATCAGGTTGGTTGCATATTTCAGTATTTCGCTCTAAAGTTGTAGATTCATATTTCTGGTATTAGGTGTGGCACATCATGCTAAGCGTTAGGACTATGCTCGCCATCGCATCTGATTATCCTGCGTGGGTTCGCAGGTTTGAATCCCATGCAAATATATTTATGTGCGAGAGGATTGCTGAACTCCTTGTCACCGTAGGATGGTTCATGTGACCGCTGGTTGGAGAGGCCATGGTTCGCCATATTATGATTAAGCTGTCTTATCAACTTTCCTCTCCCCCAGGATAAATATAGATGGCGTTGTCAAGTGAGGGTTAGGATTCACATGTGCGAAAATCGTTATGCTACGCCCACTAGAAGTACTTGAGGTATGAAACTACACGAGGCCCGGATGTTGAATATATTATGTTGTGTGACTGGTCGAAATAACATAAACTTGTCCAACTCCAAATTTTACAGTCATATTCGTTGATCATTTCACTGGCTATTTGTTGAATGTTTTTGTTCTGTTTCCATGTTTTGTTTCTTTCGTATTTTTGATTATTTTTCATTTCCTCATTTCAGAGAGAAAAAAAATATGGAGCTCACAACTACAGCCCCCTTCCTGTTGCGCTTACAAAAGGCAGAGGTGTTTACGTTTGGGATGTTGAAGGCCGAAAATATATAGATTGTTTGAGCGCATATAGTAGCGTTAATCAAGGACACTGTCATCCTAAAATTGTGCAGGCGCTATTGGTAAGAGTCTGCTATGAATTTCATGCTCATTCAGTATATAATTTCAAATATAGTATTTTACATATACCGGTAAGTTTTTTCAAAGCAAGGTCGTGAACCCTGAACTAAAAGTAGAAAGAGTAATAATATAAGATTGATTCTAAGGGTATGGACTTATTTTTTCTTTGTGTACATTGCACTGTATTTCTTATCTTGTGTTTAGAGCCAGGCATCTGAATTGGCATTGACATCGAGAGCATTCTATGCTGATGTTCTTGGAGAATATGAAGAATTTATCACCAAGTTATTTGGTTATGACAAAGTTCTTCCAATGAACACAGGTTGTATTAAGTTTATTTTTCTCTATGTAAGTTTGCTTAATTAAGGTAGTTAGCTGAAGGCTAGAAAAGATTGCTGTTAAAAAAGTTGGGAGTTTACCAATAATACTACAAAAACTGATGGCAATAAATATCTACTATTCTTCCATGATTTATCACAGTGAAAATGTGGCAAGACTTGCCCTATGGCTTTTGACATTTTCATGATTTTAAAAACTCCCTGATTCTGATGACAAACAAAGCACAACTTTCTAATTTGTGCAACTTTGAGGTAATTTATGGTAAAATAAATATCATGTAAAAATGAATGTATATTGTATTAGTACTCTTATCACCTATACCAGGGGTGGCCAACACGTCGATCGCCGCGTCTCGAGTAGTCGATCGCGTCTGATGTTGAGTAAATTTAATAACATACCCCAGAAAATTGCCTTGAACCAGTTTCATACACCTGTTGTGTGTTTCAAAATAGGAAGAATATAGTAGTGTACATGCACAAAATTTGATATACACATGCACTAATTGGGTATGAACAAGCATGATAGAGCATATCATTACATAACAAATGCAAGTTTCACTACTGCCAAGTTTTAAGAAGGAACTTGACTGGCAAACGATTCTACAACAATTTCTGCACTATGCGAAAGTTATTGTCTCACTTCAAGAGTAGTGTGATAAATTTTATTCGCAACGGTAGCAGTGGCATCAAAATGCCCAATTTTTTCTAACTCCAAGGGAGCAAAGAATCAAACTTGAAAAAAATTGTAAATTAGAAACTGAAGTTCGAGAAGTCATGTAACATTTATGGTTTGAGAATTTTGAAAACACAGGCTAAAAATTAGACAGGCCCTAGATCTGAATTGTATGATTTGAATAAATCTAAAATAAATGATGAAACATTTACTCTGGGTACAATTACATAATCAAATTAAATTGAGTGGAATATGAAAAAAAGAAAATTTTTGTGGCAATTTCATTGAGAATGCGCCCGAAGAGCCGAGCTTTTTGGGAGCGGTGGAATTTTCATATGCGTGTGTGCAGTTATCTGCATATTTAGTACCCAATCGTTTTTGTGTATGACCTTTTACTGATCAGTCAATCGCGAGGTATTTTGAAGATTTTAGTTGATTGCGGTCAAAAGCAGGTTGGCCACCCCTGACCTATACTAAAGTTTGTCTTGATTGAGTATATTGAAGTATTGAGATTTTTTCGGAATAGTATTCGGAAACTTAAATTTTGCGGCCATATTAGAGGCACTACATCTACATGCTGTTTAGTATTTGATCATATTCCTGAGTTGCGAGATTCCTTATTAAAATTAATACTGGTATTTTAAATTTTGGGTCGTTAGGAGGAAAAGTTGGAAACCACTGTTTCAAACTATTGATTTCACCATTTTTATAGTTAAAATATGAGTTGGTAATCTTCCAAAAAATGATATTTACTTTGTCAAAATAATGAAGTGGCCTATTAATAAGCATATTTAACTAGTATCTAATATTTTATCATTATGTACACATGAAACATATGAATAATAAATTATAGCCTATTTTAAAGAAATTCAATATTTCTAATACCTATGTCAATGACAAATTTGATATATCCAAGGTGTTGAAGCGGGAGAGACGTCATGTAAACTTGCTCGACGATGGGGATACGACGTGAAAAAAGTTCCTGCAAATCAGGCTCGTATTGTTTTTGCTGAAGGAAATTTTTGGGGCAGGACTCTTGCTGCGATATCTTCATCGAGCGATCCAACATGCTATGAAAGGTTTGGACCATACATGCCTGGATTATCTCTCGTACCATATAATAATTTACAAGCACTTGAGGTGAGCCTATTTTAATTTATTAATTTGTAAAACTTGATTACCTATGTGACTTGGATAGCCAATACCGAATAATTTGCTATTCCAATTACATTCTGCAATAAAATTTCTGAATATAGAATGTTGACTATGTTCCAAATTTGGTCATTTTGAACAAATATTTTTGTACAAGTTATTGTTAATTTTTAGAAAACTTAATGTTGAGATAAACATTGCTTTTTTTGAAAATCTATTTTTATGCATTTTGAAGTTAAGTGGAGTCTATTTTTTTATTATGAACACTGAATATTACATGCTCAAAATTTTAAAATAATCCAAGAATTTACCTGATCGAATTTAACAGTATTTGAATGTAATAAAATATTTGATACATTTTAGATATTCTTGAGAGACCAGCAAGATTTTTTCTTGATGTGATGTAATAATAATCTTCATAGTAAAAATTTGATATTCAGTAATTAGCATGATTCATAATGAGTGACAATCTATTGTGATAATATTAGTTACCAATTACCATATGCTTGTTCAACATGACTTGAGTTGCATCAGCTATAAATACAACACAACACTCTAATCTCTCTCCATATTGCATAAGCCATTATTCGATGGTTGCATCATCCATCTGAAGAATTCAAATAGCTAGCTTAAGGGGAAGAATAATATACGTGTATTTCCAACCTGTGTCGCTATATACCATTGGTTCTTAAACTTTTTAATCCGCGCGCCCCTTTTTAGAATTTGTCAAGTCTCACGGCCCACCCCAAAAATACCTAGCTAACAATAAGCTACAAATAACAGATAGTGAGGTGAAAGTATGTTTTATTCAAAAAACACATTAAAAATATGTGGATGGAATGTAAATAACCAAAATAACGAAATTTATATATCCAAAATAAGGCGAGCAAGATCAAATCTAACAAATATTTTTATTTTTAATTAGCTTCTGGCCCTTCCAAAAATTTTTTTTAAGCCCCCTCCTGTGGGGCCCCCCACCGTTTGAGAACAACTGCTACATACAATAACAATATCTAAATATATACGGTTGAGTAATACATCTAAAAACAACATTTTGATCAAAAGTAAACAAATGTGGTTGTCACTGACTTGTGAGTTGTGATAATAATTTGTGATGTTCATTGCTGTTTGTCCAAAGCAGTGGTTTCCGACCTTACATTAAATTAAGCTAACCTCATGGATCAGCAAAAAAATCTTGAAATTGATTAAACAGAAAATATCAACATGTGTTTCATGTTTTGGAACAGACTAGCTTCGCCTTGGAACAGACTTTCCCAAAGTATCCTACGCTTCGTCGCAGTCCACCGCATTTTATCAAGTCTATGCTACGCCAGAAAATTTTTTAATTATTCTCAAAAATTTTCGGCACCACTTTCATATTCTGTTTTCTGACAGTTGACCGAAGACTAGATGTAATTTAGTGACGCTAACATGAGACCCGTAATTAGATTGTTAGAATGAGTTTGAAGGAGCTCTACTTCATTTTATATCATGCTCGGACATTAGACACTGAAGTCTTTTTCTCCACTCCTAATGATCTACCACCATGTGATACAGAAAGCAAACATTGTAATGTATAATAGAAGATTTTTCATAAGCCTGCACAAAATTAGATCACTGTTGTGAAATGTCATCGCCATCGCTGCACCAACTCAAATATTTTCAAATTTTGCACCAATGTTCACCATCCATGTAAATGTAAAAAGTGTGTATTTAGGTATGTCTAATTTGAGAAGTGTTTCTTGGTGTTTTCTGATTTTTGTTCTAGTCTGTTCCAAAACATTGAAGTATGTTAATGAGTTTACGTGCAAGGCTGCTATCAAACACGAATCTGGGTCGCACATGAAAAGGTTGAAAATTTAACAATATTTTTCTAATTTAAATTCGAATACAAAATCTTATTGAGTATTCAGTGATTGCAGAAATTTTTTAGTATTCTTATGTGATTGAAAGTACTTCGATACGTGACATATGATACTTTACAAAGAAAATTTGAAATGAAATATAATATGATTTATATTTTGCTTTTTGTTCTAAATTCTGTTTATTTTGTTGTAAGAATACAATAATATTTACGTGGCATTGTCTGCGGTTTGATATGAATTAAAACGCGTACGTGTAGGATTTCAGATTTTAGACAGGAAGTAACAAAACACTTTTATGATGCATCTGATTCTGATGAGTGTTATTACTTGCCAGACAAGACACCTGTGGGCAATCAATGCCACACCTCTCAAACGCCTAATCCCATATTCAATTATAATGTTATTAATGTAGCATTGTACGCAGGCAATGTGAACTAAATCTGAATAGTGTGTTACTTGTCATACTCCTACGAAATCATCCCTTTATGCATAAGTATTAGTGACCTGATAGATATTTAGCTGGCTCAACTCTATAAATAGAAGACTTCCATGACAAAAAGAAGACTTAAAAAATGCCATCCAGTCAAAAAACAAGATGTTTTAAATATGGGATTACTTCTTCATTTAATTCTTATGCATTAATTCATGATCTTACTTTTATTTCAGAAAGAATTTCAAGAAAATCCCACAACAGTTGCGTTTATGGTTGAGCCAATTCAAGGTGAAGCTGGAGTAGTCGTACCCGATGAAGGATATTTGAGAGGAGTTCGAGATTTGTGCGACAAATATAATGTGTTGTGGATTGCTGATGAGGTATAAACCATTTTGTTTTGTTAGTAGTAATCTAATTTTAATTTATAGGATTTTATCTTGGATTTACGGCACCTTTTATTTTAAATACAGCAATCTTATATTTTATCGTGATATATAATAAATTTAGCATTGTAAATTTGACATAACTTTTGACTTCACTGTAAAAAATGGTAAATTTAACAGAAATTTATAAATTTCTATTATTTTGATTGTTAAAATTAAACTACTTCACTTTGAAAAATGATAAATTTACCAAAAAGTCATAATTAATAATATTAGAATTTTGTAATTACGTGTCACTTTAGCTGGAGTGGTTAGCGTAATTTTGAAAATCATGCAACTCAATGTATTGATTTTTTATTGCTCTACTTTGAATTATTTTAATGTCAACAGCGGCAATTCCAATTACAATCATATCCGTCTACAATTTGTTGTGATGTTTTTGCTATTCAAGGTTTGGAATGCATTCAGAATATTTTGATCTGCTAATTTAGTAAATTATTTAATTTTATCAACACTTTGAAACCAATATTTCAGGTTCAAACTGGCTTGGGAAGAACAGGGAAAATGCTAGCTGTTGAGCATGAAAATGTCATGCCAGATATGTTATTATTAGGTAGGTATTATCAGTATCAGACAAACTGATAATTATTCACACTTTTCATGGTACTCCCGTAGTGTGTGTACCACGTTAGGGTTATGCCATAATTTTATTCCAACTTCCTTATTACTTATCGATCTTAAGATCGGTAAGTATATTGATAGGTATTTGTCTGTATGTATGTATGTCTGTTAGATGCACGCGATATCTCACGAAAGCGAGATTGAATCTGCTCCAGATTTTGCATGTGCATTCATCTTATCTCGGACCAGAAGCCTATTGATTTTGGGCGAATTATGTCGAATAATTAGCGAGTTATCAATCAATTATTGATATAGTGATCTAGATTTTTGTAAAGCGAGAGAATTTTGAAACCCGCCGAGTGTGTGTGTGCGATGCGCAGTGCGCAAGTTACAAGAGCGGATGAATCGAAACTGCAGTTTCTGTTTTAAGGGGAACCCCTAACTATCGATCGATGAGTCTTCGGTTTCCAACCGATATTCTCGTTTTAGTTCTATTACGAGTTCAGGGGCTGTCTGTGTTAGCCAAGTGAATATCTCCCTGCCCATAAGTTTCATCACCTTCACACAACTTGATGTAAAGTAGGCGAACAAAATTAGTTACCTCCATATTGGTAACCACACTTCTGGAGCGCCCTTTTTATTTAGTAGCATACAATTGTGCCATATTGGGGCTTTAGATTCATTTTAAATGTACCTCAAATTTTTACGACAAAATACCTCATTTTTTATGACAAAAGTCATAAAAATTAAATTTTTATTAAGGCTGCCATTTTCTACTTTATGAAAATGTTGATATGATACTATTTGAAGCATACAAAATATAAACCTTCTCAATAAGAAGCAAAATTTTAAATATAAAGCTTTAGTTCCAGCGAAACATTTGATTAGCTAAGTTCAGTCACGAAGTGCCTGAACAGGAATGAACGCGTGGTTGATTCTGCTCCTAATTCTGCATGTACATTCATCATATCTCGGACCAGAAGCCTATTGATTTTGGATAAATTATGTCGTATAATTAGCGAGTTATTAATTAATTAGTGATGGGACACACGATGTCACTATAGAGTCATGAATCGAAACCGCAGTTTCGATCGACAAGTCGATCGATTGATTTCAATTTCGGCCATAGAAGATAAATAATCTCAATATTCTCTTACACACAGGTAAAGCATTATCAGGTGGAGTTTATCCTGTGTCTGCTGTGCTCGCAAATGATGAAGTTATGCTGACAATAAAGCCAGGAGAACATGGTTCAACATATGGTGGAAATCCAGTCGCCAGTCGAGTTGCCATGGCCGCATTGAATGTAGCGATTTTATATTATTTTATTTTTGTGAATTTTCAACATAATGGGCCATAACCTGTGTTCGATTGTACTTTAAATGCTTCTGCAATTTATCACAAGAGTTATTACTTATTCATCAGTCTGCGAGGCCTGGGATATACTATATCGATGTTTTTCAAATATTTTGCATCACGACCCACTTGGCATGGCCAATTTTTTTTGCGACCATCAGGAACTGAAATAAAAAAAAAAGGAAAATTAATAATACAGAAAATATTTGAAAAAATATAATTGACAATACATTTAATAAGAGCGATGTGCTTGCATATTCTAATTTCGGTGATGATGAGCCTCAGTACTATTTCCAAATCTTTCAAATTTGATCAATATTTTGTTTTAACAAGTTGGTTTCGAAAAATATTCCACCACAAACTGAATTGAGCCCTTTCGTAGCCTACTAGGGATAGGGACCTCAAGGTGGAAGAGCCCTGTACCATATTACACTCAAAGTAACAAATATATCTTACATAATAAATACAGTTTATACAACCATACTATGGTTGAATGGACGGATTCACTAGCTGTCTAACTTGAGAGGCAATAAGACCCCCCCCCCCCTTCCTTTTATAATCCTTTGCTTTGCCCCTGTTTCTGACCATAGCTCCTCACAACATATTATTAAGAGGAAAACGAGCGCGGCCTCTGGCACCGTTCAATTATGACGCTATATGTTCAATTATCGGAATATTACCCTCTTCCATTATAGGTATTACTGGAAGAAAAATTGCCAGAAAATGCAACTCGTTTGGGAAATATGATGCAGAATGAATTGAAAAAACTTCCTCAAGATATTGTTACGGTTGTAAGGGGGAAAGGATTATTTATTGCAATGGTTATCAAGGACACTGGAGGTTTGTATAATTGTTATACAGAGTGACCCGAAGAAAAAACAGAATCCAATAACTTCTTAATATCTTCTGCGAAAATGAAGAAAATTTAATTGATTTTATTTACACTTGATCTCTTACGTTCCCGCAGTCTAGGACGCTTTGAACAAAGATTATATTTTCTCTAAAATATGTTCCAAATGACCATGGCGTTGGAGACAGACTCGCATCCATTTGCACAAAATTGTTAATCATTCCCATAGAATCTTATATTGGGATTTTGCTAATTTTTGTGCTGCAATTGCAGCCTTGTGTTCTCCAATTGTTTGAGGATTTTTTCGATACACGTTGTCCTTCCCAACAGATGAAAAAAATCTGAGGGATTAAAGTCGGATGAGTAAAGTGCTCACTTGACATCAAACATCTTGCTGATCGACCATTCCCAAAACTGCTCCCCTAGCCAGTGTGATTTGATTTGTGGGTGTTGGCCTCGTGATAGGCAATTCGATCGCAAGAGTGCTTTCTATTTGAATGACTCAAACAGCTGAGAAAACAAAGTTTGTATTTCATTATTCTGACCTATAAGTCAAATGTTTTTTTTTCAAATTTCCATACAAATTTATTCAAATTTACTTAACCACTTATCAAACCTACAACTTGATATACACTATTTTATTTTCAGCATATAATGCATGGGAAGTTTGCCTTCGACTTCGTGACAATGGTCTTCTTGCAAAACCCACACATGATGACATCATCAGGTTTGCACCCCCTCTCGTCATCAACGATGCACAGGCAGAAGAGTGTCTCGATATCATAGAAAAAACTATCACCAGTTTTCATAAGTAAAGAAGAAACGGATTCCCATTGAAAAAAAGTTGCCAAATTTCCAAAAAATGTTCTTCCTTCACACTAGATCTCCGATGCTTGCTTAGTGAAATGTAGTTACTTGCTGTAATATATTTTGTGTGTCCATTCATTTACGGTGAAAGTAAATGGTTCGTTCTCTACTGGTGTCTGCCACTTGCTTGCAACTCTCATATCTGTATTGTTACCACTTTCAGTGGGGTGTCTGAGACTTTGCATTGGGTGACTTTATAAAATAGGTAGTGGAGGTTTTGTATTGTACTGTGATTTATAATAGTCATGTTTCAATAGTTCTGATTATTCCATTTTTTATTATACAGTTTTACAAGTATACACGGTATTTATGTCAGTTTTACCTCGAAAAATATATACATTCTAAATACACAACAAACAATATATTTATATACACAAAAATTTGATCCATTGTGCTGGGGTTGCATTTCAAACAAAAATATCTATTTTTGTGATAGACTCAAAATAAAGAATGAGTTATTGAAAACTATAAATAATTCTATGTTTCAAAATCTGTATTGCATTTTTCAGAGTTTGCCTTTTTATTTGTAAATAATAAGCAATAGGCTGTTTTATAATATATATTCAAAGTTTATAGCTTACCAACGTCCATCATAATTTTAGTCCATCTACTATTGCCTACTGCACAAACTTTCATCCACCATGAACACTGCCTTATAAATGTTTTAATAATGTTATATTTTTGTTTTAATTATACACCTACTGAATTCTGTCATTCCTGCTTGGTTTTAGTTTACTTGTCTGGTGTAAATAAATAATGCTGTAAAAATACTGTGTTTTGAATGGACAAGATTTTGAAGTGTAACTGGTAGGATTGGATTTTATAATTCGTCTAGAGGAGGGGGATAGCGATAGGATGGCGCAATCATATGGCGAACCACGGCTTCTCGTGCAGTTACCAGTCCATGGTGACCATGATAATTGTTAGCCAGTTGTTTGTTTCAGATGTAGTTGGGGTCGTAACCAACCACCAGCTACAGGAGCCACTCCCCATGGCAAGCAGTCCAGTAAATTATCTCGCACATAATTATTCTCCCCGATTCGAACTTCTGAACCAGCGCAATGTAACCAGTTACTGCACTTAGAAGAGCGAGCGTGTTCTTAGCAGTGTGCACCGCCGTCGGTTTACTACATGTGGAAAAGAAGGTAAACCGATTCATATGTTTGAAAATAATATCTATACGTTATGGACAGTGGTGGGATTAAAATTTTTTGTCAGCCAGTTCCATCACATTTTTTTTAGCCGGTTCTGCTACAAAAAGTCATGTTTTTTCAGTAATGCTTACCGGTACCGGTTCGCTGATCTCATAAAATTTCGTGAGACGGTTCTACAGAACCGGTGCGAACCGGCGGAATCCCACCACTGGTTATGGAGACACGTGAGCTAATTGAGTTTCAGTATACTTCGGGGGGGGGGGGGGGTGTTTTTGCTTTTCTGTGGTGACAGGTTCGAAAAAGTTTAAAAAAAGATCAACTGAGTTTCTGCTCGCTTCGCAGGAGTTCTTATATAATATTGACGTATGTAAGAAGGCTTAGTTTGGGGTCGGGGCCAAAGGTGTAGTAGTCGGTGAATTGGATTCTGGGCATGCGAGTCCAGCATATGGTACCGAACGCTGACCACGCTCGCCACCATCTGCTAGTAACTATAAAGTAAAGCAGCTCACAATTTTAAATGTAGCGTGAAATATGAGCGCACTGCGTGATCGTCGAAGCAAAATGGGACAACTAGTGAATTTATACGGCTTTCTCGCGCAGCGGGACATGACGTTCGTTCGAATTATTGGTCTCGTTTTCATGGTTTGTGAACCGTCGAAGGGGATGTCTCGTTTTCTATGAATAATGGGAAGTCGCCGCGGGGCTAAAGCGACCAAGCGCTGAGAGACCCTGCTTGTTCGAAGACAATTCAGAGTAGGACGCAGCCGAGAGCAGAGCAGCTAGCGTGGTGTATTAATAATATTAGTATGCATATAGTACCGTTATATATTAGGGTTCAATCGACACAACCATAAATGTACGGTACAAAGCACCGCACTGAAGGACTCAAAAGGTTACGAGTCAGAAACTGTTTCTAGGTTGGCATGCCGCATTTTTATTCAACATAAAGCAATTACGGTGAATGATGAATTAATTTACATTTCATCATATAATATTAAATATATTAGTTGAAGTAATATACTCGGACTTCTGAATCTGATTTTCTTGTTTGATTTCAACAAATTACGCCAGTGCATGAGAGGTTTTGTGCGAACTGATTCCTCGAGTTCGGTGAAGTCCTAGCTGCGAAGTGGAGGCAGCGAATATTGAGGACGTCATGGAAAGTGGAGAATACGACGGGGGAGCTAATGAGGTATTGTATATATTAATTCTTTACTGACAAAATTATGTTTTTATGTAAGAAATTCAGAAATTTTTTTACAAAACCCCTGCCACTAATGCAAAAATGTGAGATTGAAAAAAGCACTCTTGCCTAGTTTTTAAATAACAAATTAGCAATTATCCAGTTGGGGTTAGGATTGATTTGAAAATTTGAAATCCCAGCCCAATCTGCATTCCTAATCCACACCCTAGAGTTCTGGATAATTACAAATTTCTGAATTTTCTTGTTTTGGGCATTAGCGGGGGGGGTGTTTTTTTGGCAGGGACTTTGTATGGTTATTATCGTATTTCACATATACCATTGCCATGATATGATATATTATACTGCTAAATTAATAACAAGTGAACTGAGCACTTTTTAAATAGATACATAAAGAACTATAAAGAGAAACTATTGTGGTCACCACAATTTCTTCTAAATGTTTGAATGTCTAATTTAATAGGAGGGTATGTATGTATGTGAATTATAAAAATTAACAAAATGAGGGTGAAATATCGCACACAATACTGCAATAGGACTCAAAATAATTATAAAAAATTGAAGCATTTTAGCGACTTCTCCTATCTTCAAATACTGAAGAATTTAAATTGATTAGTCCATTAATTGTGGAGTAATTAATTAAAAGTAATTTTTACAACAATAACAACAATCCTTCAAACCCCATCTAGAACAACAATTTTACTGAATGATCGATCTAAAGATCACTTTGTGTTCCAAAAATTCTGATAATGATGTATTTAAATTTTATAAGATTTTTTTTACATTTTTGTATATCAGTCATAATATGTTTTATCCAAATTTTTTAGAAAGTTTTGAAATTGAAAAAAAGTTACTACCCAGTAACCCAGTCTCATATATTGGATTATATTTAGCTTAAATAAGATCAACGTTGATGCACGTAGGAATGATTCTAATTCGAAGAACCTGGTTCAAAACATCTATTCAGTTCATTATCCAGTTGTGTTAAATTAAGTTTTTTATGTCATTGTCAAATGTTTAATTCCTTAGACATTTAAATCTTGTGTGTGTGCCTGCTTCTGCTTGATAACCAGGTTTGGTTCTCCCCACTAAAATGTGTCTTCAGTTTTATTGTTTTAAACTTTGCTTGTTATTTATGGATGAAGAAAATAAACTTGAATAAAATATTAGGGTATGTTGAAACATACTAGTTCTTTTATATCTAAAGGTGGCTGTTTGCTTGCCCGGAGCCTTGTTCTGAGCGAAGGTGTATTAGAATAATAATATATCAGTTTATTGATCTATTCGGATATGAATATTTATTCAATTATTATAATTTAGGTGATGGGTATTGGCATATCTTGTATAAAAGGTGTAATACATTAGTAAGACGAGAAACTAACTTGTAAAATATATGTAAAACATTAGTGTGGTAACTTGATATATTAAAAGCTTAGAGCTTAGATCAAAATGTTGTAGCCTAATAGACTTTTTTAATAACTTTCTTTGAAAGTATTAAATATCACTCTTCATTATTCAGCAACATCCTGATTCATGGAAGGGTATGGCGAGCCCACCACAAGAAATTCCAAAATCATCTGAAATACACTTGCCACCCTTTTATAATACTGTATCTACGGCACCAGGACAGATCTCCGGTAAAACAACATACCCGCAAGAACAGGATATAGGACCCAATCCCCCTCAAGGTAATATTTTAGATAGGAATTAATAGCAGTATATTAGTTAGTTCTTACTTGGCTTATAATTTTTAAAGAAATGGTTTGTGAATTCTTAATTAATTACTGGTGATTACAACAAGCGTTTTGCCCATATAATTTTTATTTTTTATTTTCATGCAAGGCTTTGAGTCTCTACCTAAAGCATATAAAGAAAACTGATTGCAAAACTATACAGTGACTTAGGCATTATACCTGTTAAAAAGTGTGAACCTGTCTGTATATGTATGTTTAATAATAGACACTTTGTTTTCATATCAGGATTTTGGTTATTTTTTTTTTCATTTTTTTTGCCTTGATTACAGTAGCTTTCGACTAGAATATTTCATTTTGGGTTGGCTTCCCTGATCTTGGTTATTATGTTTTTATTTTAGTTTGAGTAAACTGTCACATACCAAGTGGGTAGCATGAGATAGACAAATAAGTATATATTTATGGTACTTCATTTAAATTTTGGATTTGATTACCGTATATCTTATATTTGATAATTTTTAATTCAAAAAAAAATTTTTTTTTATAAGTTACCGGTAGATTAAGGAAAGTTGGTGTTATCATGTCATACTGGTATGTATTATGCATGCTATGCCACAAAGATTATGGAATTAATTCGAAATGTAAAAAAAAAATTATGGTACTTGTAGATGATTAATAAAATTATTCGGAATTATGGTGTTCCTATGCAAATTCTTTATATGTATTGGACTGTGGGAGATACGGTAATCAGTTCATAATATATATACACATAATTTACTGAAAAGCATAATTTGTGGCTGGGCGTGTCTATATTCAATACATTTTTGTAATTCATTCAGTAAAGTTCTGAATTTTTAGTAAGATTCTTAACTTAGACTCTTGAATTGGATAAACTAAAGATTTATGGCAATTTTTTATTATTATTATATGTTATTAGTCATTTTGTTACTAGTCTTACTCTTGAAATAGTTATAAAATACAAAAGCCTATTTGTTTATGAAATTTTAGAAGTCATTTTTTTTCATACTTATGTTGTGAATCAAAAAATCATGTATTAACTTTACTATAGATAATATTATTGCCAATTTTGTCAATATTAGCAGTAAGTCTCCCACCCTTGCCTTGTTCAAACAGCTTTTTTCTTTGCTTTTAGTTTGCCTTTCCCAAATTTGCCAATCTCATGAATAATTGATGTCAGATTGGTCATCTGACAACTGCTTTGCTACAAATGGGCAGCATCACAGCTTGCTCTTGTTTAAATTACCTTACTATTCAAACTGCCTTTGCTAGATGACCATAAGGGAATATTGATTTTTCTTATTTTCCGAATTAATTTTTCTGGCAGAAAACATCTGTAGTGGTTAACTTCAGGCAGCTATTATTAATATAGTTTACTGAGTTTTCTTTTTTCAATTTTCATAATTTTCTTCACAATTTTCATTAGAATAATATAAACTATTCTGTACCTAATCCACTTGTTTAAAGCTGCGCTTGTATTTTTTAGAAAATTGTATAAATATAATTAGCACAAAAATTGATTCAATTTAAACCATAAGATGTAGCCTTCATCATAGTAATTCTTTATCAAAATTTAATATTATTTAATACATCTGTATGAATCTGATACCGGTTGAAATACATCGTTTCACTTTTCAGCTCGATATATGTGACATTTCGAATAATACATTTCATATTTAAAAACCAGATTTTGAATTTATTTGGTTGGTTATTATTTGGCAATTATCAGATTCCCCAATTAATTTTCAGTCTTTTTCACCATGCCATCTTAAAATCAATTTTGCATGATGATCAACAGTTGAGTCAATAATTGACCCATGGATAAATGTGAAAGTTATTTATGTTACGGTATTGAATTTCTGGCTGGCAATTTTGTAATGTAGAAATAAGTGTAGTTGGATATATTAGAAGGGCTTTTTTATGTAATTCGGTTATTGTCTTTCATATTGAATGCTGTTAAATTTCAAAATTTGTGTATACTCCATATCGATTTGTATTTTATTTGATTTCGATTTGTTATAACTTCGCTAAATATTAAATTAATAATGTATAGCGGTAATTGAATTAAGATGTAATTTTTCCCTCATTTTTTTATTATTATTTTAACTTCTAGTTTAAATAAGCAATTATAAATTCATTATGTCATAACTGAGTAAGGACTACTTTAATGAATGACTCCTGGTGTTTCAATATAAATATATTAATACTGATTTTATAATATTGAAAAACATTGATATTTAAGTGTAAAGTTTTTTCGAGTTCAGTTTGAAATTTATAATCGGATGTTCGGAATAATATTGAACAATTAATATTTGACAATCTCGGAATGTGTATTTGTGATTGGAATATTGATTAATTAATCCTTTTTAATACACAAAAAGCAATAGATTACAAGATAAACTTTTCAGACAAATTATTGAAGCCATTTTTTCTCCAGACATGAGTGAATATTCGATTCAGTTTTTTTGTCCTGCACACGCTTTCTTTTTTCACGCCTTATTGCACAAGGTATCACGCTTGATTTGATCCGAACAATTGATTTATTTCTGCTGTGCCCTACTTTCGACAAACCATGATATGGGATTGCACAAGAATACAAAAGGAAATTCCTTGCATTTTTAGATAGATTAACATGACTATCTTGCAAATTCTTGGTGTGAGCTAAATTTTTTAATTATTTAGCTCACCTTGTGAAAATATGCAAACTTTTTGCAAATGAGTTTAATGTATGGAAAAATGAACTCAATGACTTATACAATATCTTATAAATATAAATCTATAGTTAAAACAATATGCATACATACTACATCACAGCCTAATACTTGAGTTTATGAAGATATAAATGCATGATCCTGTATGAATAAGTATACATTTAGCATGCTATGCCCAGACTGTATGTTTGATATCTCAAATTTGAATCCTGTTATATCATTGTTCTGTTATGCCATCAACTCATTCAGGGCTTTTGAAAACTACCAGTAGGTATCAGAGATGTTAAAAGTGAATCAAATAATTGAATACAGTCAGAATTGAAAATATTCGACATACCGTATTTTAGAATACTTCAGAATCGTTTCAATTTAGAAGTTATTTAGAAAAAAAATATTCCATACTGGAAAATATAATTCCATATTTATTTCAATATATTAAATTATTCGTTTTTAAACATTCTTGATCGTTTGCTAGGTATACTAGTAAAGTGAAAAGATAGCTGTGATTCCAAACCAATAGCTTCCCAAATCAGGGGATTCTTCTCTCTTTCAGAGAAAACTTCTCTAAATATATGAACAACTTAACAATTATTTTGTATTTTTAATTTCCAGGTCATCAAGCACCTTCTGGACATCAATTCCATGACTCATATCGGTATCATCAACATGCAGCCTCACCTGGACAAATCAGAATGATGCAAAAACCTGGTATTTTTATTACTTTATTCTATTATTGAACACAAAATGAAGCTATAGAAAGTTTTACAAAAATTGTTGTTTTGGTTCTTGTTGTTGTGTCAAAATCAATCGGAACTTGACAAGGATAAAAGTTGATAGAATCACTTTTTTTTTCAAATTTCCTCGCCCTACAAGACCTATTATTTTACCTTGAATTGCTGGTTTGAATGGTACATGGGAACACCTTCATATGACATTCAGCACATATGACATTCAACACCATTCTGTTAACATTTGACTGAAATTTTATTGACATTTTAGTGGCCATATAAATCATCGATTTTTAATATTCATGTATTTGATCATTGCTCTCTTGTGTTTCTTAGTCAGTAATTATGATTATTTGTAATATTAACCAATCTTTTATATTATGTTATATATATCAGGTGCACATCCGAGTCCTGGTAGCTGGCATGGAAATAATTCACCAGCTGCTCAAAACCCACCATACCTTTCACCAGATCGAAACAGATATGTTGCAAGAGCACCATACCCAGGTTATGATACATCTAAACCCTATATTCACATGGGACAGACTGCACAAATCCCATCCCAACAACCTGCCCCCCAACAGGGCCCATGGCCAAGAGCCCCGTATCCTTCTGCCCATCCTGGTTACGAAGACCCCTCACGGTCAAGTCGCTATGGTCAATCGGACATCGCAGGTCCGGTCGTTCCAGCTGGCCTTCAAGCACTTCAGGCAAATAACAATAATGCTACTTTAATGCAACATCAACACACTCCAATGCTTGTCCCTAACCCACATTACAATCAAAACCGAGCACAGCAAGTAATGTCCTCTCAGCAATCCGCAGGCGTCAAAAATACAGATTTACAGAAACAAGATCAGCACACTCCACAAAGACCAGTTTCGGCATGTGCTTCTCAAGAAACAATGTACGCCCCATTGCCAACCAATTCTCCCATGAATTACTACCCCACGCATTCCCCACACTCTCAACAGCATCGTAACATTGGTCCCATGCATCATCAAATGGGTCTCAATTCACCCAGCGTATCCCCTTATCCAAGTAATCCTTTGACACCAGGGCCGACAACAAAAACTAAAACAAGAGGGAACAAATCCTACCAGTGTCCAAAATGTGTAAAGGTCAGTTTGAAACGTTCTATTTAACTTTTCTTTGCTGCCATAATCTCACACCTTTTTGTGTCATCACTTATCATGTCTAACAATATTTTATTTATCAGTTGTCCTTCATATATGAAAAGATTCTTTGCTTATAAATTGTTTTGTTTTGTTAATTCACACTTGCAGTCATTTTTACCGAGTTTTTATCTTACTTTAGGTATTCAGAAGAGGAGATCACTTAAAGCGTCATCTTTTGTCAGTTCATGATCATGAACATCCGTATCAGTGTGGAGAATGTGGGAAAGGTTTTGCATCAGTTCCCACATTATCAAAACATACCAAATCTTTGCATATCGGTGTTTTAACGAAAGGTTTAATGTGTTTACGGTAAGTTAACATTATAATTTCCACTTTTCCCAGCAGTAATGTAAGGACATGCTATTATGAAAGGACGCTTTCTAATGCAGGATTGCGAACCAAATTTGTTACACACTGCCAGGGTGATAATATTCAGCTCTGTATGAGTTTGAAACTTGATCTCATAAAAGTTTATTCTTCACATTATCACTAAGAGAAAAACGATATATTTCCAACAAATTTTTGTAGATGTCAGCTGACATTTCCCACAATTCAAGAAATGGAAACCCATTCCAACTCTCTTCACATTCAAGAAGATGAACAATACATGCAGAATATCAATACAAGCAGCAAACAACACCACTGTAGCTTTTGCACCAAATCTTTTTCTTCTGCTATCAACTTGAAACGGCACATGCAGCTATTACACAGGTATATACAAAGCTTTATTGTCTAAAACAAATAATGAGTTCTAAGAACCTCTAACGAAGGGTTTCTCAAACTGGGGTCTGGGGGGCTCTGATGACTGCACAGAGGGTCCGCAACGATATGAAAAGAGTCTGATCGATCTTTAATGATTGATTTCAATCAAAAAGCCATTGCAATTTTTTACCAATATGATGTCAAAATACGGGTCGAAAATTACCGTAGAGTCGGACCTACAAGTTTGCTCCGAGAATTGATAAACTGTTCAGTGAAAAGCAATCTCATCTATCACAGTAATGTTGTATGTGTTGTAAATGAAACATTATCCTTCTTCGTTGGTTAGGCACAGAAAATTGATACGACATAGGATGTGGGTCCATCAAAACTCTGATTCACAAACAGGGGTCTGCTGCCCAAAAAGTTTAAAAACCCTGAATATTTCAATCATATCGAATCGAATTTAGTTTTATCGGATATTTCAAATTCTCAATTTTAGGAATAGTTCATTGTGGATAGACAATTTTGCGTTAAGTCTCACAGTGCCTTCACTTAATTTTGGAAAACTATAATATGACTTATATGTTGAATATAATATAACCCAATTTAAAATCTTCAATATTCGGAATTATTACATCAAAATGTATACATATTTGTAGGTTATCCTTGATATACAGTCCTATTCATTAAAATTGAATTTTTTTTCCTTTTGCCTACTCTGTCAATAAAATGGACTCTTATGTTTAATTTGATTTGCTTTACATTTATTATTTCAAAATTTATAATTGTTTTGGATTTTTAATCTATAATACTTCAAAATAAATTTTAATAAAATTTAGACAGTATATTTACTATGTTGGGTCAGGCTACACTTTAATTGGAATTTTACTTACCAGTAGTGAGAATTCATGGCTGGCCTAGTTTCAATTATTAGTTTGTACCACAAAATAGGTAGACAAAGAAAAACGGTCATTCATTATGTCTGCCAATGAGTCATAATGTTTTTGTGAGAGAGTGAATAATTCAACAAAATATAAAACATAAAAAAATGGGTCCAGTTCAGGCTGATGTCTGAAAATGGTGTAGGATTTTGTAAAACAGTGTTCTCCTGCAATATTTTTTTTTTAACTTTTTCGTTATTTTCAAATGTCCAGTTGAAGTAATATATACTGTACTATGATTGATGTGTGCTTGAAAAATTTAAAAAACTGGATGAGCATTACTATTATAATAATGATTGTGATGCTTCCTTGTTGTGTAAATCTATAGGGAACATTAAAACTGATGACTTCATAACTTAATTATGTGAAAGTCTCATTTTGTATTTGGGAAAGCCCTTTATTTAAATGTTACTGAGTCACATAGGGATGTAAAGTTGAATCAAATCTGAAGTATTAATGAGTCTGATATTTCACTGACACTGATTTGTAACCTTGGCTGTTCTTTGTTTGTTTCCCTAACAAGAATTGTCCTAAAACATGTAGTTTGTTATTTATATTTTAATGCCTCATCAACATAAATTTAATAAATTCAAAATTTTTTAATCATTTCATTCTAATCGAAAAATTTTATTTCGTATAATTTCTTAATGAAAAGACTGATTTGGTAAATTCTTCATTTTAGCAATAATTCGGTTTCGTTTAAGAAAATTCCATTTTGGGTTTTCCATGTCTGACATAAAAATCATTCAACCCCTAATAATGTAAAATATAAAATCATCAATTAACAGCGTTTAACTAAACTAATTCAGATTATTTAATTTGAATTTTTGAATTACAATGAATTGAAATTACCTATTTTAGAACATATTTTATGTTCTGTATTCGAATATATTATTTCGAAATGCATTCTTATTAGTATAACATTTAGTTTTGGCCAGGGGGGCTGGTTGGAACTCCCACCTTTTTGAAATGTAAAAAAGCATTTTTCTGTATCAAACATAGCAATTTTTTTTGCCTAAAAAGCTTTTTGGACCCTCAATACTCTCGGAAACCCATATTTTCTGACTGCTAGCTATACCGGTCTAACTTGGCAATTAGGATTTTTAGAACCCCCCATCCTGTTTGATAATTCGTGGCTACGCCTCTAGTTTTGGTTATCTCAGATTGTTCATTCATTAAGATGAACCCAATTTTACTTGCAGTCCCAGTCATTTTTCATAATGTATTTGCTTCATAAGCTATTAATAATGTAAACAATTTGGGCAGTTTGTCCCACGCATTCGTTCATGACCTGAAGTCATTAATTCCAATTAAATTATTCATGCTCTAGAAATAAAGATGATGCACGAGTGTTTTGTCGTGAATGTGGAAAAGGTTTTAGCAAACCGGAAACATTACGAAAACATGTTGATAAAATTCATAATGGGAATGTGAGCGCAATTCCACCATTCGATGAAACGGAAGATCCAGAAACTTCAAGTCAAGCTCATAGTTCAGAATCTGAAAGCAGAGGTCCATCAGCAGGTAAAATACCCTAATTTACATTATTTTTGTTTCTTTGCCATACCAGTTTGGGCGCTCCAGAAGTATGTGTACCAATATGGAGGTAACTAATTTTGTTTGCTTATTTTTTTACATCAAGTTTGTAAAGGAACGGAGAAATCCTATGGGCAGGGTATATATAATCACTTTTCTAACACAAACAGTCCCCGACTTCGTAATAGAACTAAGATAGGGAAAATCGGAATAAAATTATGCCCCAACCCCAACCTGGTACACATACTACGGGAGTACCCCAGTTTGCGCATTTACTCTGACAGAAACGCTTTGTATTTTAACAGAAATTTAGTTTAGGGTATTTTCCTCAATTCATTATATTATGAAAAATTATTAGTAAAAGTACTATCAGCTTCAATTGCCAATACTTAAACTTTTAGTCACAATCACATATCAAGTCACAATAATACAGTATCATTATATTCATACTGCTTTGCTTTGCTGCAGAAAAGTAGGTGATACAGTTATTCCTGGCCATTTTGAGGAATTCCTTAAATATTTTTATGCTTTTCATTGGTTTTGAGAATTCATTACTTTTATTATCGCAGATACTGATGAAAGTTCATTGTCTTCAACACCAAGCATGCTTTGGGGGGGAAGTTACCCAACCCCGCCCGCACCACAAAATCGAGGACCTGTCAATCAAGGAATGCCCCAACCAGGAATATCCTCTGGTCCATCCACTGGACTTCCAAATCCTGGATACCATCAACCTTTACCAGATCAAGCACCACCAAGCGTACCAGATCAAAATACCAATCCTCCATTTTTACCAACCCAATCTGACCAAGCTTTACCAAACAAACAACCAATATCTAATTCTCTTGTTAAGTCTCTTACAATGAACGATCCCCAACAAATTTCAAGCAACCATCAAACGCTACAGACTGTTTCAATTGCATCTCAACAACAAGCGTCAACTCAGATGATTGATTCTACATTAATGCAACATGAAATCACTCAACCTAACTCTGTTTCTGAAGCTCTTTCAATGGCTATGAAAGCCCTTTCAGACTTTGACTATGAAACTGGATTTGAAATGTACAGCAGTATCCAGCCTGACCCCCCTCAATCTAACCCTCAAGTAATACAACAAACTGCTGCCAATGTACGACACAGTCAAAGTAATGTTTCGATACCTAGAAACGGTATCAGTGGAACGATTAATAGTCCAAAACCTACAGATGCTAGCAATAATATTAATACTTATGATTACCCTTTCCGTGGAAATCATTTTTTAATGACAATGCCCCCTCCTTCCGCCTCGATGAACGCGGGCCGCCTCCACCCTCAGCCCATAATGGCTGGGTCGCAGGAGGCCCCGCAGTTATCGCAGCTTCTTCAGGAGGGTGGGGGCGGGGTTAGAAGCCCCATTGTCATAAATAACAATAATAATTCAAACACAAAAGAAATTGAAAATTTTGTCGAAACGAAAAAGAGTCAACGGAGACAAAGGAAGCGTAGAGAGTTAAACAACGAGAATGATTTCATGGATTACGAGAAATCACAAAACGATAATTTTCAGGAAGATAAAGTGGATTTGAGCTGCAATTTATGTAACATTGAGTACGAGGTAGGAATATTTTTATTTCGATTCAAATTTCATATAAATGTATATCAACTGCAGGCCCTTTCTCCTTCGTATGCGGCTGTTGACGGTCCACAAGGATGCTTGAACTATGTAGTATTTAACTGATGAATAAGGATAAAATAATATTTTTCCACGACATAGCAAGTGTATTTATGGGCTTTCATTATTTTATTGTATGACTTCTTCAGGCATAACTCAACCAAACAATTAATATGATCTTTATCTTAGCAGTTATATCTTGTTTCTTCTGATGAAGTCGATTATGTATAATGTTCAGTTTTTCCAGTCTTTGTTTAATAAAATGAGTTTCACCAAATATATTAATTTTTTTAAAACATATATTCGTTTTTAGAGAATATTGTTACTATTTTCATGAAATTTGAGCGTGTTGAGCTACTGATCATTCTGAAATCAAAAATTATCTTATTCCCGAGCAGATGCTGCTCTTCCTGGGCCTGTTTAGAGCGAAAGGCATGAAGTGCTAAAGTATTTTAATCTATTAAACATTATTTTTATTTTCAGAGCATCGACAGCCTTATGGTTCATATTGAGGGAGTTCATTTGAAAAATAATCCCCATGAATGCAGCATCTGTCAGAAACACTTTGCACAAACTGGTAATGTGAAGAGACATATACGATTTGTTCATCTGAAAGAAAGACCTTTTAGATGCAATGATTGTTCAAGTACTTTTGATAGGTTAGTATTCGTTTTATTTATTTTTCAATGCTATGGGTGGCTCTGTACACTTCTCATTGCTATGGACCAGTGGTGTGCAACATTTTTTTGTCGGCGAACCATATAACCAACTGGGTCGCAGAAAAAATTTAGTTTTTACATGTACACAACGAATTAAAAAATTCCTACAATGAAAAGGCTATCGCTTAGCCTTACAGTAATAAAGGCACCGGGCAAAACGACGAAAGATTCAACGCGGCGTCAAGAGCATGAAACGTTATGTATTTTACCAATGTTGATCGCCTTTTTAAAACAAACTGGCTGGTTAGGATTTTATTCTTGATGGGTTAGTGTTGACGAGGGCTAATCTGAGTGTTGCTAGTTTTGATAAGGGCCACACTAAATGGCTTGGCGGGCCGGATTGTGGCCCTGGGCCACCTGTTGCACACCCCAGGTCAGTTAAAATACTGTTATATGTAAGTGATATCCACGGAAAAGCTTCCAAAATATGCTGTGAGAGAATTTTCTCATACTTCAGAATCTTGAAAAATGGCTCTGCATTAGCAGCCATGGCTAGGTAGATATCTACTGTAGTTCAGAAGTATCCACCTCACCCAGGGGACATCAGATTGAATAGGCAATGCCGAACGAGAAAATTCCAGTTCTTAAAAAAATAGTGACATCCCTAGAACCGTTAAATATCAATGGCTGCTTTAAACAGGTTTATTTCCGAGCAAAAGGTCTGAATAAGCGTTGTATATTCTTAGACCACCAGTTTGAGAGCCATTGATCCATGAAATCCCCAAATCCATCGTTTAAATGATGATTTTTAAATTTTTTCGAATATCCGTTTCCATAGTATTATCCAATTTTTTATATCCATATACACAGGCTTTGTTATCTCCAGCGTCACATGAGAACCCATCTTCAACCATCGGATGAAAATCAAGAATTCAACCCGCTGAAACCATGTAACTGCCCTGAATGCGGGAAACGTTGCTTAACTGCTCATCATTTACGAGGCCACATGCAGCGCAAGCACTTTGCCAAAAACAAACAAAATTATACTCAGTTCATATTGAAGTATGGACACTTAGAGTCGATTGGATCGGGTCCTGGTGCTCTCGTCAATTCTAAAAAAGGCAAAGGGAGGCAAAAGAAAGCAAACAAGTTTAGTAACTCGACAAATGTTGTTGCTTTTGGACAGTCACATAATATACAAGGTATGTGTTTTTTTCACCCATCTTGCAGTGTGCCATATATGACTAAGCGTAGCATTTGGTCAACCATCATGGCGTATAAAATTTTTGGAGAGGACGCGGAGCTAATTAAAAATTATGAGTCAAGTCAAAGGTTATTCAATGAATTTCATATTTGGGTATTTATATTAGTTATTTATAAAATAAACCATCTTAATAGTCAAGATTTATCTTTACTAGGTTTGGTTAAGCAAAACGTCTTATATTTTCTCTTCCATTGTTCAACACTACATGATTACATGGATGGATTCATTTTTCAACATCTAAGGATTATTTATAATGTAAATGCATCAGCTACGATTGTGATTAAATGATTCTATTTAACGTTTCTCAGATACACCACAAAAATCTTCAGTTTTTATGCCGTATTCTTCAACTGCCAACTCAAACACACTGTCCAATGTTCAAGTACAACAACAATATAATGGTTTGAATCATACCTCTGATATTGCAATACAAGTAAGTCTCAGCTGAATTATTTTCGAATGTTTTGTCTGGTTAAAAGTTAGATTGCGGTGATGAGATAAAACAAAAGATATAAATCTTATATACCAACTTCTGTAAGGTGTCTGAGCATTTGAATAAAAGACCAAGTATGGCATTATGGTATTTTCATTTCAAATTATTTGAATAGGCCTTTCATATTTATTGACAAATGTAAAGATCAACTTCGAACAGAAAATTTTCATGTCTTTGTATATTATTATATTTAAACAATTACCTAGTTACTAAAAATCAACGTTAATCATAAATCAAGTGGTCTTATGCCACGTAATGTCGTGAAACGTGGCGAAAAATGTCTGGTCCAAAAAGTCAGATCATTTGTTTGTTTACTGATCTATACATGGAATGATAAATGTAATATTTTTGCATTACTGAATTACTGATGTTAATTAAATATTCTCAAAGATCTAGATTAACCGATGATAATGTGACCTCGTTAATTAGAGTTGGTACTGTGAAATCATTTCAGCCTGATATTATTAAGCTGGTTGCCCAAATGAGATGCTAAACATCAGGACAAATGTAATAAAAAAAAACATTTATTCTATATTTTTGTAAATTTTAGGTCTATATACTTAGATTAAGTCATTTTTAGTGTAAATATTATTCTTTTCTTATCAAAAGTTTGTTTAAATATGTTTTGGATAGTTGTGTATGAAAATTTATGGTTTGTAATAAATACAGTAAATTGCAATATTAGTGAAATGCAAGAAATCAATATGTAATTGGCATTTGAAATTTAAAAAAATAAAGAAAACTTTATTCGGTTGTTAAATTACATCACAATATATGTCACAAACTACATCTATCTAAAAATATGCTTTTAAGTATACATTATCAAAATACATCAAAAACTGTTTGCCTCCCTTGGCACAATTCCCAAAATGCAACGCGGCCCTTGAAACCCTACAAGTTTGACACCCCTGCTCTAAAACATTTCCCAAAGAAAATTTAAGCTTATGATAAGTTTAAATTGAATTTTTGTCATTTCAGGGAGTCTGTCAATCATCTTCTACACCTACCAACTTACCTTTGCAGCCCAATTTCAATTATTACAATCAGCAAGTTGTAAGCCAACCAAATACAGAAAATACCGGAAGCATTCAATCTTTTGAACATGAATCATACAACGCTAATAATCAAATGCAGAATTTTGAAACCTACTTTAGCAATATGTCACAGCCGTCAATTGAAAATATACACATTGAAAATTCAAATTCGGATAAAACCCAAAAACGTAACAAGGAAAGGAAATGTGTCAAGAAGTGCCTGCCCTTTCGCTGTCAACACTGCCGACTGCGTTCATTTGCCAGCCTAGCCATGCTGCGAAGTCACATGTCAGTTGTACATAACGCATATCTCAAGAGACAAGTTTGCCTCTCATGTGGTTTGAGCTTCCACAAACGAGCTCATTTGAAATCGCACATGATACAAGCACACCAATCAGACATGGCCGGAACGAAAAAACAGAAAAAGATTACTTCAGAAGAAAAACATGAGAAAACACTGGTTCCTATGCTGGAGTACGCTCCGTCACCTTCATATCCTATTCAACTGCATAACTTGAGTAACCCAACTTTGGCGTCTTATTACGCTCCAAACCAACAGGTATACTATGGATACGATCCATTATCTCCTGCTATGGTTCCGTCACCAAATATGCAATCTGCATATAATACCAATACTCTTCAGTCTACCACACATATTTCATTGGTTCAAACATAATCAAAGATGTTAAAAATAAGAAAATCTTGAAAAATAAAAGTTGACTGCCTATTGCACTATTATTTTGCATTTGTGTCCATCATACCCCCAATATGATGTTTATGTTTAATTAATCAGTTTCTTTTACTCTTGTCCTTCAGTGTATATTATGATGTCATAATTTGATCATTCCTGCCAATAAACGATCAAGTGTGTTTGTACTTTTATCCAAATGATCAAACTGTCATTTGTACTTTGTAGTGTTTTTTATTTGTATATAGTTTAACTGTTGTAACGAAGTAGTGTTTTCTGACTGTAGTACTATTTGCACAACGTAATATTTCAACCTTCAAATGTGAGTTTTTTCAATGTATCATGTTATGCTATTATGTACCTTTTTATTGTCAACAACCCTGGTAAATTTTGTTACTGTGAAGATGCAAATTTCTTCATTGTTGGAAAATTTCAAACCAGTGTTTGGGAGAAAGCCCCTCAACTCTGAGTCGCAATTCTCGAAACCAAGTGAGCCGGGTTCAACTCTGACACTGGCGTTTTGTTTCTATGAAAATACCACTCCAACTAGGACATATGATGGCATTCCGAATTTTTTTAATAAAAAAGGGAATCGGCCTTTTCAAATTGTATTTAAATCTAGCTTTAAAGTAAAAAAAGATTTATCATCCACACCAGGTTAGGAAAGATTTTGAAATGACATCCGACTGTGGGTCATAAGCGAAAAGTTCAAAAACATGGGTGTATGTAGTAAGTCTACTTTTTAAACTGTTAAGAACGTCTAATATACTTGATGACTTCTAAGATTCTGAAAATTTTTTGACTTCCATTAACATCATTTAAAATATGAAATTCAAACTGCAATGAATTCAAATTCTCGACTCCGAGCAGTTTGAAATTCAAACTTGGACTAGACAGCCATGAACTGACCATATTGAATTAAATCAAAAGCTGCTTGTATTCTCATTTTATCAAAACTAATGATGAAATTCATATTTTTTTTTTGAAATCGTTTTTATATATCGAATTCGCTCTAGTATGATGTTCCGAAGAGTAGTCATAACCAGTTATAGACCGTGAGGCAAGAGCACTCTAATCATAAAAAGCAAGTGAAGAAATTCTTTATGGTGCAATGTTTACCTAAACATCAACAATCATTCCCACTGCTGTTTATCTATATTAATCATACCATCTGTTGATCAACGAAAATTCATCTCATTACGGTTTTTATTACACATATTTCTGTGCTTACTTTTTCAGCTTTTTAACCAGTATTTCATATAATACTAATCTTGTGCTATTTTTGACCATTTTATTCTTCAGAAGCAATTTTTTTGCACATATTGCCAACCAACTTTTTTTTGACAATTCTCTGTAAGCAAGTACTTCATTAACAATATAATACACAAGTGGTTATTTTTGCTAGAATTAATTTTTTGATTTTGATAATTCTGTGGTGCTGTGGTAAATTTGGTATCATCTGCAACAGTGGTTCTCAAACTTTTTAAGCCGCTTCCTCTTTTTAGAATTTGTCAAGTCTCGCTCCCCACCTCAAAAATAACTGATAGTAAGGTGAAAGTATGTTTTATTCAACAAACACGTTGAAAATATGTGTACATAATGAAGAAATGTAAACAATAAAGAAATATGAATGTCCAAAATAAGGCGGGCAAGATCAAATCTAACAAATATTTTTATTTTTAATTAGCTTCACGCCCCCTAAAAACATTGTCTACGCCCCCTTTGTGGGGCACACCCCACCGTTTGATAACCACTGATCTATAAGTTGCGTGATAATATTTAAGTGTGTCGATCTTGAAAATTAGAAAAAAAAATTTACTAAGTTGAATGAAAATTTATGGATTGAAAATGAGAATTTATAGGCGCCTTTCATAAAAATTTTACATTGAAAAAAGAAGCCTGTAAAGTGTAAGCCTTTTTAATCAAAATTTTTTTATTCTGTATATAATTTTTAACATAATAACCATGTCTTAATGTAAAAAAACTAACCCAAGTGTTTTTATTTTTACTCTGAACTTCCTGACAAGGATTTTTTATCAGAAAAACTAATCATGACATTTTTGTAGATATAAAAACAATAAGGGTAATTTTAGTTACATACAGTAGTTGGCAGTGTATTCACACTATTTCTTCGTCCAATTAGTGCCAAAGAGTGGGACTCTCTTGTTGTTGAAAAAATTCAAGATTTCTTCAATAATTTTGAATTGATTTAGTGTTTGAAATGAATTGTTTCAATAGTTTACAGTAACCTAATCAACTGTTCTGGCATATAAGTGTTGACTAGAAATTATACCTTTATCAGTATCAATTAGGACCGAACAAACATTTATACATTTAATTTGAATGATAGTATTCGTAAATGGTGTTACTCTCAGATCTTAATTCCTGTAACTGTCGTTTTGTTCAGTCCTTCGATTTTATGGTAATAAATATTGCATTTGTCGTAAAAGTCTTTGAGGCTGGTTTGATTTATTGCTGTCAAGGCGATGTGAACATAGGCACTACTTGCCAATTAAAGAACTGTATAGGCTTTACATGGTTGATATGTGTGGCGTCTACAAACCATGATAGAGGGAGATTTTGGTAGCTGTATACTAATGTCTTGCTTGCCTCTTCAACTCCTGGGAACAAAATACTTGGCTGGACTTTTAACTTGTTTAATGTCATAAATTGGAAACACTGATCAGTTGCAGCTTTCTTGACCATCAAGGTTATGCATCTAATAAAGGTAATCGGTTACCTATTTCCATATGATTAAGTAGTCTTCTCACTTTCCTCCCCCCAGGGATGAATATAAAAATCCTAACAGGTATACTTATGTTCCAGTACTATGGTTGTGTTGTTATATGGGTGCTCCAGAAGTGCGTTTACTAATGTGGAGGTAACTAATTTTGTTTGCCTACTTCACATCAAGTTGGGTAAAGGGACTGAAAACCTATGGGCAGGGGGGGTACATTCACTTGGCTAACACAAACAGTCCCCGAACTCGTAATAGAACTAAAATAAGTAAAATCGGAATAAACGGTGGCCGAACCTGGTACACACACTCCTGCAGTAAGTACCGATATATTTGTCGAACCGGAAGGAGCAAAGCTTTTTTCATCTGGAGAACAATTACTCAATTGCAGACAGTTTGTATTATTTGTGAAGTTTTGAACAAAATTTCCTTCCAACTGGGGAAAGAAATATTATCAGGCAATTTACGAACAGACAAAACCATTGAATTCGAAACAAACATCTCATACTTGAGAACAAAAAAACAAATACAAAAATATTGGCATTCGAGTAATCGATGGTCTCAATTCTTCATATTAGACTCGTTTAAACTTAACGAAATATTTTATTTATTCATTGTTGCATTAGGAATATCTTTTAAATCACTGTTTGTTGTTTCTTTTCTTGGATTTCCCCCAATTCTTTTCCAAACGTTAATATTATCAACAGGCTTATGAACAATTTCTTCTTCTCTAAAAAACCATTTGAATACTTTTACAATACCTAAATCAACCCTACCACTTCTCATTTTCGTCATATCATGCAAAAAATTAAACTTTCGATAAACAGAAGTTTGATGGAACCATGCGCATCTTATAAACAAGTTTTTTGGTTGGCAAACAGAAAAGTGTAATTTTCGTAAAATCATGATTTATCAGTATCGTGCCACTTCTCTTCTTCAATCCTAAACTGTGTACTTGGCTTCGAAGTTTCTTTCATCAATTCGTGCAACTGTACAATATGTCCACTATTGAAATCCGATTCCAACACGTTTTCTGATATATTTTCCCCTATATTTGGATTAAGCTCTTTTCCTTGTGACAGATTTTGACTAAGTTGTAACTCAAGTGTGTTTGCGTATTCTCTCCACTGTTCCAAAAAAGGCAACACAAATTCTGGTTTGGCCGTCTTGTGTTGTTTAAATTCCTGTTTGCAATATTGATCACCAACAGCCTTCAAATCAGGCGGCAACAGTTGATGCAGTTTCAAAATACGCTTGTAGAGAGATCTCACTGTTCTTACATGAGACATAGATGCTCAATTATAAGATTACATAAAACCTATGATCTACTAAGTTATTTCAGCAACAATCAGTCTTGAAAAGAATCTGAAATTCAGTGTTAAAAGTTTTAGCTAAGGCTGCCATTCACTGATTTATTTGACGAGGTATTTCATTGGGGACGGTAATCAGATAACTTTCACAAAGGAAGAGTCAAAATCGAATATTATCTTAGGTTAGTTGTTTAAAAATGACAGATTATTTACCTCAAGTTTTTTTTTTTTAATATGTGTTAATACAAGAAAGTTCAACACATTACACATCACCATCCAATATAATCCCCATCATCATTGTATGTTCAATTAATTCAGCATCAGTACCATCCAATTTTTTCAAATACATATTATCCAGTTATTGGGTCTCGTGTAGTTTCATACCTAATGTACTTCTAGTGGGCGTAGCATAACATATGTCAATTTGATATGTCAATCCTAACCCCCATCTGATTACGCCATCCAAAAATTAAATCGCTACGACATCACATTCACGTCTTAGAGCTTGCCAAATATACGCACGATCGACCGAAATGGCATTGGCGTCAGCGATAAAGAACTGACTGACGTTATCAATCTCTCTATTGGAATCGTTGCGACGAGAAAACGAGAGAAATAACTGTTCGATTTCGGGTGCTCGTTTGCGCGTCTTGGATGGCAGTTCGTATAGTTTGAAGGGCTCTATTACATCACTGTGGCGTCGTAATGAGGTAATTTTTGAATGATTTAGTCAGGTTGGGGTTAGGATTGATACGTGAAAAAATTGTCATTCTACGCCCACTAGAAGTATGCTAGGTAAGAAACTACATGAGACCCCAGTTGTTTAATATTATCAAATATTTAAGATAATATAGTCAAAAATGTACAATAGTTACATAAAACAAAAATGGCAATTAGCAAATGAATAATTCACACTATTAGTAATAAATTAAGTTAAAACAATCTTATCTTACATCTATCAGTAGGCCTACTTAGGGCTGATGTAGGCTACTTATGTCAAAAACATTGGCATAATATTTTTAATTTATTAACATAATTGTTATCATTCCTATGGGTTTCCAAATTAAGTCTGTGTTTCAACCCCCTTTTCCTTGAAATATAACATACCTTAAGTGGTTTTATACTGCGGCAGTATTGCGGTAGTTCAAAGAGCTTTAAACGCTGCACAACCCCGGCATGTTGCAACTTGCAAGATCACAAAATGGCTTGAGACCAGAAGAAACTGCTGCAACCTTTGATCCCTTTAAAGGTCCTTACCATTTCACACCTTTATGTTAGTCGTTGATTTATGAAAGAATGAAATCACATGTGATTTTTTTTGCGTTTATGTTTTCCGTGCTTAAGAATTCATACATTTAATACTACAAAATAAAATTTAATTTTCATCTTTCGAACCAGCGAACCTAACACTACCAGAAAAGTGGCGCTGGGACTCCATCCTCTGACTATCCACTGACCAGCATGAGAGCACATGGGAGTCGAAGCCTATGATGGGAGTCAGGGATAAACTGATAAAGGCATTGCTCAATGTCTGCATTTGTTCCATATGCGGTAAGTAGATCAGTACCGGTACCGTTGTTTGAAATCGCCAGTGCTCGTAGTAGCCACAATAGTGAATTAATATACTATTTTGAAGCATAATACTATTATAATATTATTGTATACCGGTAGCCTACAGCAAGATATAGCCTAGAATTTTTTGGAGCAAAATATTACATCATTTTTAATTATCACAGTAGTCTATTAAACTCAAAATAAATACCGTATCGAATATTTGTATGATGAAATCATCTTGAAATAATTAACAGGACTCTATGGATTATCTGCAAATGTTTGTTTACTTGTTTGTAAATGTAATGCTGTAAGGTCCCAATTTCAGTATTTAATTAAATGTATTTTTATTATTCAATTATGGCAGTATGGAACAATTCACTCTGTGGAACCATAAAAACACACTATTAAATACAAGCGGCCATAGGCTATGTGCCGTATTACCAGTACTAATACTAGAACACAGCTCATAGCTTCAATCATTTATGGTTATGGTTTTTCGTATTCAGATATTTGCATGTATAACGTTACTGATATTTATACAAAGTTTACAGAGGACTCTATCATTTAACAAGGGATTCAATCTTCTAAGCCAGTACACAACCACTTCGTACACTTGACGTTTCTTGTCACACCATACTGCCATACATATGGCAGTATGGTATTGTCCCTTGTACAGACAGGTTTCTTCACTCTAACCTTAACCCTAATTGCTATCGCTTCGTCTTCTAATCTTAAACATTAAAACCGCCACCTTGTCGATATAGACTATCTTATTGTTACGGGACAAAAAATTGTTCGTAATCCTGTAGGATTAACGATCAATATTATGTTCAGCAATGAAAAATGATAATTTAAGCACCACAACACAGCAGTTGTTGCTTGGTGGATGAGCCCGGTTAAATGTTTTCATCCTGGCATTGTTTTTCTGTTTTACTCGTGGCTTTAAAGTCGACAACAATTGACTTCCAAATCCGTGATGAAAAAAATTTGACCCCGGACTTGAGTTTACGAAAAAATTTTGACTGCAGTTTAAGGCTCTCAAAATTAAATTTGATAAGAAAAACATTGGCGTACGCAAGCCTCCTGTAATACACTGTTAAGAACATTTATTAAACTTGATGCCTTTTGAGTTTCTCAATAAAAATATGGTCATTGAAAAGTATGAAATTGCAACTCCCGATACAGTCTAAACTTCATTTCATCTTCCAAATCCAAGCAGTTTATAAAATCCAACTTCAGTAAGTACATGCCAAACTCAGTCAATCGGAAGCCTACTTCATTACCTATATGATCTAATATTGAGGCAAGTGCGCAAGTAAATGATAAAATTATGTTTTTAGAATATATTTGTTAAACAGTAGGTTGTGGCTGGATTACACTAATGCATTCGGCAGTTTAATTTGACATCTGTATGATTACTGATAGCGAAGGCGAAAAAGATATAAGCATGAATTCCTACTGTGCCAGGGAAATGCTTCTTTTTACTGGGAATTCCCATCCAGATCTTGCAAGATCCGTTGCAAACCGGCTTGGTATAAGAATAGGAACGTGTTCGGTTTATCAAAAGTCTAACAAAGAGTCAAGAGTTGAAATTGGAGAATCTGTGAGAGGAAAAGATATTTTTCTGTTGCAAACTGGCAGTCGAGATGTGAACGATGCAATTATGGAGTTGCTGATCATGGCATATGCATGCAAGACATCTTGTGCGCATAGAATTATCGGTGTCGTTCCGTACTTACCATACTCAAAGCAATGTAAAATGCGAAAGAGAGGATCTGTCGTTTCCAAGCTTGTTGCTACACTGTTATGCAAAACTGGTTTGGATCACTTAATTACAATGGATTTGCATCAACGAGAAATTCAAGGATTTTTTGATGTTCCTGTTGACAATTTGAGAGCGTCTCCATTTCTAATCCAATATATTCAAGAAAATATTCCTGATTATAGGAACGCTGTCATAGTGGCTAAAACTCCTGCCTCTGCTCGCAAAGCGCAATCTTTTGCTGAAAGATTAAGATTGGGAATTGCGGTTATTCATGGTGAACCGCAAGAAGCTGACTCGGATCAAGCAGATGGACGCAACTCTCCACCACCATCTCAAAAACAAGACTCCGCTTCGCTCGATTGGAAAAATACAGAAACACCTTTAGCTCATGGATTACAAGAGGAAGAAGATACTGCACCATCATCATCCTCTTACAGCCGAAGACGAAATATTTCAATCGGCCATTTTGAAGGTCTTGAAATACCTATGTTAACAGCCAAAGAGAAACCTCCGATAAATGTCGTCGGCGACGTTGGTGGAAAAATTGCCATCATTGTGGATGACATTATCGACGATGTTGATCCTTTCGTGGCAGCTGCCAACGTGCTCAAAGACCGTGGCGCATACAAGGTATATGTGATGGCATCCCATGGAATACTCTCTTCTGATTCACCAAGAATATTGGAAGGATCCAGCATTGATGAAGTTGTCGTCACTAACACAGTTCCACACGAACTGCAAAAGTTGCAATGCCACAAAATTAAAACTGTCGATATTTCATTTATTCTTTCTGAAGCAATTCGACGAATTCATCATGGTGAGAGCATGAGTCATCTTTTCCGAAATATCGCCTTGGATGAATGATTTACTTCAACACTGACCAATCACATAGACCGCTCCGGTACCTCATATACATTGTATTAAACAAGTTTCAATGCTTCGTAGCATGAGTGGATACCTTTCCAACTTTTTGAGATGATCCCAGGAGACAGCACTGTATAAATCGTCCATTCGATACCAATGACTCATCATTTCAGTCTCTTGTATAAGTTTTTGCATAATATTATCTAATGCTATCATGTAAGATTAATACACTGACTTTTTGTGTAATAATCTAGAACTGGCACCATTTTTTAAAACAATTTATATCGCCACACTAATATGTAGTATGTCATATTTTCAAAAATGGCCTTTTTTTAATCTTCTGTCAATTATAGACCAGGGGCCATATCATATCTTGGTCTGAGTTGCAAAGATGTATCTGTTTTTGGTTGTGTTTATTTCCATTTTTAGGTTTGGCTTTACCAATTCGAAAATCTGATTCTCTCAAAACTCCCAAGATGTGATCATGTGACATAAGCTATTTAGTTCTACTTTGGTGATATAAGCACATAAAATTAACCGTGGTTATTATGCTTATTACAATATGCTATCTAGCACTGCCCCTACCTTTTTAAAATAGTGGAATCTTCCCAATAATAATTAACTATGGCAGCAATGCTTGTGTGATTTAATACCATGACATTCTGCATAGAATACCCCATAAGTACATCTTACTCCCTTACTTGTCAGTCATTTAATTTCCTTTTCAATTAGTTTTGTTATCTGTAATTGAACACTGTCGTCAGGTTATGTTAAATATGTAAAAGTATCGAAAAATAATCATGTAGAATTTGTAATTTTTGTTGTTACGAAGAGTACGTAACTGATCATCTTTGTGAATATCTTAATTCTGCTTTGAGCAGTACAAATGAATTTGCATGAGATGGAAACCTACTTAGTGCCTATTTGTACATAGCTGATTTTTGATCATAACTCGGAAACATTTCTTTTACTGCCAATACTTTTACTTTACGATGAATTATCTGGCTTCTGAGTGCTAAAATTGTGTGTAATATTTTATTTCAGTGCACCATTTGTATATTTTAAAACATGGAATCCACTGCTTAAAACTAGTCTAATTTCATCATGGATGATGATTCGCAAGATTATTCAGAAACGTTTGAAAAAGCTGCTTCTCATTTGCCAACATTAGTTGGAGAATTAGAAGATGTCCATCTATTGTACTTATATTCCCGTTTTAAACAAGCGACAATCGGTCCTTGTAACACAGATAAACCGGGGATATTCGATTTTCAAGGAAGAAAAAAGTGGAATGCGTGGAAAGAACTTGGTAATATGAGTGCTTCACAAGCAAAAGAAGAATACGTGAATAAAATAAAAGCCTGTGATCCAGATTGGGATGTACATAAGCCAACTAACTCTAGCACATCCATAATGGGACCAGCTGTTAGTCGACCTGTCATCGATTGTGATGAAGTCAATCCTAATGAAAGCATTCTTTTTGATATATGCAAGCAAGGAGATGTAGAAAAATTAGCAAATATGGATGAAGACTTATCTGTAGGTGACACGGATGAAAGAACGTTATTACATTGGGCGTGTGACCGAGGCCATTTACCTGTTGTAAAATTCCTTCTGAAAAATAATTGTGATGTAAATGCAAAAGACATTGATCATTCCACACCATTACATTATGCATCATCATGTGGTTATATAAAAATTGTTGAAATTCTGTTGAGTCATGGTGCTGATCCAAATGCAAAAGATAAAGATGGTGACACCCCTATTGAATGTGCAGAAACCGACAAAATACGTGAATTATTATTAAAAAGTAAAGCTTTAACATGATTAATGCTAAGTTATGCAACACACAATGACTTGAACCTAAATTATTGATGTTGTGCGTGGGTTTGTGAAAATATAGCAATTGCATATGCAAAAGTGATCTTAATAAAAGACTGGTATAAGAACAGACAAAATGTAGTTGCAATGGATTATTACTTATCGATTTTAATCGGTAAGTATGTTGATAGGTATTTGTCTGTCTGTTTGTTAGATGCACGCAATATCGCACGAAAGCGAGATTGAATCTGCTCCAGATTTTGCATGTGCATTCATCATATGTCGTAACAGAAGCCTATTGATTTTGGATGAATTATGTCGTATAATATGTCGCGAGTTATCAATTAATTAGTGATGGGACACAAGATGTCACTATGGAGTGAGAGCGCTGTTTTGGGGGATCCCCTAACTTTCGATCCATAAGTCTTAGTCTCTGACCGATATTCTCGTTTCTTAAATTGAAAGGTTTTTCAATACAATAACATCCATTGAATTACTGTGAATCTGAGTAAATATTATTAATGCTCAATAAAAATACAGACCAGATTCAGTGTAATTTAATTTGCATAGTTTCGTTCAGAAAAAACAGTGTTGTGGACTGTGTTTGAAGAGTTTAGGACCTCTTGCCTATCACCCACACCCTTGGCAGACAATGCCAAACTAAAAGAAATGTGTATTACGTAGAGCCTTGTTTGGAGCAGAAATTCGATAAACGGCCTGCCTCATCAGAACTCTATAATGTGCATGCTTGAATATAACAGTCAATTTCAATATCCAAATTGCTAACATGCCCTGCTTGTAGACGCATACAATGGCTTGTTTTCCAGGACCCCAATATAGCAGTCAGCAGCTGAAAATTAACTCAAATATATACCTACTGTGGCTATTGCAATTTTTAAGTTTATATTTTGTACATTGACAATTATATATACTGGGTAGTTAACCTCTGTTTATCTTAACAGAAGGTGGCCTCACTTCTGCATACATAGAGATTTTATATCACAGACTCCAGGTCCCAAAAATACAAGACTTCTTTGTCTGTTGGGACTTATTTTAATGCTTATTAGTGTAAAACTTTGACCCCTATAAACCAGACATTCAGACTATATTATCCAACAAACCCAAGGGAATTCTCTATGCCTTAATTAATAAAATTTCCAACCCAAGGGGGCACAACTTTTTGACTAGGCCAGTGGTTTCCAAACTCTTTTTAAAGCCACTGGAACCACTGGACTAGGCGATTAAACAAGCTAAATCTATTTGTCCAATTAAATGCGAAGACATTGAATTAGCAATTTAGGACTCTGATTGATCGCTCTCTTTCCCACATCCCTTGCACTGTCTGTGATAATGAATACAGAAAACGACAGATCACGAGGAAAAAATATTATTACAATGCCAAACAAAGAATTACACTATCCGAACTCTTAAACAAAACTTTATGGAGGAATATCGCTTTCAAACAACAGATGCACTAAACCTTTCTGCATAGTTTTGTCTAGTTTCTTTGATCTTAAAGTAGTGTCGAAGGCGGAAAGGTATCAGCAGAAGACGCTCCCAATTGTCGTCGTAATCATTCAATGCAGCCTTCGTTAATTTTTTCTCGAATTCTTCATGCTCGACTCTCTTGATAATTTCCTGCATGTACAAATGCTCGGCGTCTATAGGTGTCCATTCATCTTTGGGCAGGTTCTGAAATATTTTAATTTCATGAAAGAGAAAGAATAATAAGCAGATATAAAAAACTATTGCTGTATACTGTATATAGAATAAACTCAGTATTGCAATCGTATAACAACAATGTTCAAATATATTATGGACATGTAAGTCAAATAACTATCCCCAGTAGCGGTGACTAGGGCTGTCCAAGCGAACTAAATAAATATTCGAAATCGAATCGCAAATTATTCGAATCGTTTTTCGGCTAATTTTCGAATCGCTAAAATTAGGTACCTGTACATAAAGCGGAAACCACCTTTACGGGATGTTTTTCATCGGGCAAGCGGCGGCGCTCCGAGCTCAGACCACTCTCGCTCCCGGCTTGCTTAATTGGTTTCCCGATATTTCTCTCGCCTTCATTTTGTGATAAACATGTCATTACTAATGCCCGCCCGGTGGCACGTGATTAGCCATTTCATGCGTGGTCATCATAACAAGGTATAGTCGATCGTGACGTTTTTTAGAGAGAAAAAGGAGACAATTTAGAAAACGATAGTTCTATAAATAGAATCGATTTGAAGCTGTTGAGTTCGTTATCATAGGAACATGGTACAGGCAACTCAAAGCTGAAACAAGTGTTTTGGGATCCTTATGATGGCAATACCTTCTTTAAATGGAATTTGTAATTTTTCATGATGGCATTACTGTATTATCCATCTATATACCAAGACAAATAATTGCACTCTTGCATTTTGATGGCTGTTGTACACTAACAATATTATAGTCCTCAAATAATATTGTCATCAAACTAGCTTGGAATTTTTAAATGCAATTTTGAACTTGAGCAACAGTTTTATCTATATTGATGGTTGTTATTATTTTGCTGAAATTTACACAAAAAAACATAAAGACTAGTGAATAGGATTAAAATAGCATCTACAGGCTTTATATGTCCTACTAAAACTGAATCCATCAAAATTGAGATTGCAATTTTTGAATAGTGCAATTTTTACTCTTAACACTCAAACAGTTTTCGAGACCCAAATTTTGGAGTTCTCCAATTTTTTTGACCAGTTCATACAAGCGTGTGATCTCCTTTGATGTAACTGCACATACGTTACCACAACATCGAAGGGCAGGCGTTTATTGTATAATAGAGACAGATTTACTATTGTGCAATAATATTCGGTTCGATTCGGCGAAAATATTCGAATCAAAAAATTATTCGATTTTGGACAGCCCTAGCGGTGACCATACATTTGCACCCGTATATATCCGCGGGTTCAATCTATATGATGGTGCTAAAATCCATGGGTTCAAATATTCGTGAAAAAAAAAATTCCCATAGGTGCAATAGTATGCAGGTGCAACTGTCGTGGGTTCAAATGTAATGGAACCATGAAACTTACACTGAAATATTGCTGAGTAGAGACTTAATAGTAAAAGAAAACCATGGCAAAGACGGTCACGCTTATCAAAACTTATTTGAGACTGTCTCATGAATTTAAATAAAGCAGTTGAATTTTGGGTGAAATGTTTCACGTTCTATAGAAAAAAAGTAATAGCTTTCAGCACCTACTTCAGTCTTTAAATACTGAAATTTTGAAAACAGTTGACCCAATAGTTATAGTGGAAAACGTTATTCCTGCCTCAAAACTTTAAATAAATGAAATAAACTGTATCGATTGGTGATAGTTTAGCATGGGTACCCAACACATCCATCCATAGCCAAAGACACGATGGCCCCTAATGTGCAAATTATTAATGACAAAAAACTACAGCTAGGGATGTCCAACATGAATTGAATAATGAAATATATCTGATTTAGTGAATTCCTAATTTTAAGAAGGAGTTGAATATTTTCAAATATAAAAATATGGTTTTGCATATTTCACAACCGAGAATTAGACTGAATCGGGCTTTTTTCCTTCAGATAACTGTAAAAAACTATCAATACTTTATGGTCTTATGAAAATACAGTGATTTATCAAAACATGTACAGCATAGGCTATATTCGATTTTTCCAACTTACTTTTTTAGCCGCAGAAAGTAACAATGCTCTGTTGATTCTGAAGTATAATGCATCTTTCTGCTCCTGAGTCATACGCTCTTTTGCTAGTCTCGCAATTTTGTATTCATCATCGGCCAACAAGTCATGGTAAAGAAGACCAACCTGAAATAAAACAGTGAAATAGGCGCATGGGTCGTCATTCCATAAGGCCAGTAAAGTGACTCTTGGGGCTGTAGGGTCATTTTTAATTTGTCTGTTTCGGACTTCAGGTCCTCAGGCTAGGAAAATTTCTCTCAAGATTTTGTTGAAAGCAAGATATAAAAACATATCTAGGTTTAACGTTAATTACTAATTAATGTTAAAAATATTCCAGTATCATTTGTAGTTCAGGTAGTTGATTTACTGGAACAGAAATATACTGTATACAGTAAATGCAATGAAAAACTCAATCATACTTTGCAATATTCTTCTTCTCGATAAAGAAATACTCTTGTTTTCTTTTGAACATCTCCGAATTCTCGACCATCCTTTATGTATGAGAATTGATGAGGTTTACCAGTGACCCAATCTGTGCTGAGGCCACCAACCACAAAAGGATGTGCCCTTTTAGCAGTCCCCACCACTGCCCGAGTTGCTGCCATCTTTTATAATTTGCAAAAGCAAAACTCAAACTAAATCACCAGCTACAAACAAGCAACCCTATAACTGTGGTATATAAAGAATATAATGAAACATAATATTATAAAATCTCGTTGTCATTTATAAATTAGTATATCGAGTGGAATTGCAAGCAATATTTTAAAAACTTATACATAGCCCTACTTATACAATTCCCTACCGTATCTCTCACAAGATACAAATACGGGATGGGATTGCCATAACTTATTAATCCTGGGAAAAAAATCGATTTCAGCCAGGCTTTCCTGATATCCCGCTTATGCACAACATTAGGTCTGTGTCATGCCATACATTTTTAATTACCATTAAGCGGTTGTTATGGACCATTTAATTAGCTGTGAGTGTGATTAATATTTATCGATATGCAATAAATTGATAGATTCGGCAATTTTTGATACTACTACCACCAAAGTTTACGCTTGGGGTAGACTATAAATTATTGCAAGAATAGGGATTGCCAAAGTATAATTACGATCGCCCGAAATGGCATCTGCGCCGCCGATAAGAACTTGCTAAAGCCGGCGATCTCTCTCCTATCAAGATCGTTGCGACGAGAAAACAAGAGAAATAGCCTGCTCGATTTCGGGTTATCGTCAGCGCGTTTTGGACGACCATCCGCATACTTCGGTGAGCCTTATTACGCCACTGTGACGTCGGAATGACATAATTTTTCGGTGATGTAGTCAGGTGAGGGTTAGGATTGACATATGCAAAAAATGTTGAGCCAGGCCAACTAGAAGTGGGTGTAGTACTAAACTATACCAGACCCTAGTTTTTTATAAACTGAGAGTTAAATAAAAAAAGAACCTGTGTCAATTTATGTATTTAGTCATGTATTGGGTGGGTGCTAAAACCCATGGGTTAGGGTTAGTATGGATTCAAATATCCGTAAAACAAAAAACTTTCCATAGGTGCAATACACATGGGTTCAAATGTACGGTCACCAACTGACTCAGGTGACCGTAAATCTGTAACGTCAACAATGTCAAAATCAAAATACAACATACAACATTTCAAAATTAATTTCCAAGGCATTGTGACGAGGCTGTGACGAAGCGACCGTTAGGTCATCGAGTCAGTCACAGCCTTTAAAAAAATATAAAATTACCATTTTTTAAACGAAATTGAGCTGAAGTAGCATACACCGAAAATAAATTAACAAAACTAACAGAGAGGAAAACAAAAACAAAAGAAAAAACAAAACTCAATTGAATATGTTTAAACCATACTATGGGGGATGGCATGTACACAGTAGAGATGTACCGATACCACTTTTGTCGCCGATACCGATCCGATACCAGCTAAAAACGCCGATACCGATACGCCGATACTACAAAAATGCCGATATTACCGATATTGCGATACCGATACTATGTAATTATTATTTAATTAGGGGTGTTGTGTAGGGCAGACGGGTTAAAACAATGGTCTTTGAGCGTTGTTCTTAGTACACATTATTTCAGATCGAAAAAAAGATATATCACATAATATGAAATTAATGTTTGGTGTTTGCTTCAACTGATTAAGATACATTGTACAGTAACGCTAGTAATCTCGGTGTTCAATTAGGAAACTCATAAGCCGGGACGTCCAATTTGAATTTAATGTTAATATCGCGACTTTCGAATATCGTTATTCGTGTTTAAAAGAATATCAAATATCACCCACACATTCCAGCGCCGCCGTCCTACGTTCAAATTAATAGCATTTTACGAATATTTTATTTCGTGGCTAATCGTAATCGTCGACGCAATAAGTCAAAGCTAACATGAAAGAATATCAATTAGCACCGACAAAAAGAAGGCCTACCTATAACCGTCGAGGATGTTTTTTTACTTTACCAGTTTATAATATTTTACAATTGCTATCATATATTTTGAGACAGTCTGGGGCTAGGCGGTCATGTCAATATATCTATAAAGTAATTGTGTAGTTAAACAAAATTAAAATTAATACCTGCGTAAAGGGAATAATTGTGTCGGAATATAGTTTATCGATGTCGATGGACTAAATGACACTCGTACTTGACGACAAACAGTCAGAATTTATACCCGTGCCAAAAGTCTATGTGCCGTTAATAAGGACCCCAATTCCACTGTATGATTTAAAACTGGGCGCCTAATTGCTTTTTGTTATGTGCTGTGTTGATATAATTCTTCATTATTACTATGTAATATTAAAAATGTCAATATAAAAATTTAACAACGAAAATAGCCAAATTAGTTGAGCTAGTTTGACTGATAAATAGTTAAAAACACGTGAATCCGATTCTCTCGCGGGGGTGGGGACATGTAGGGTTCATGGCTCACGATCTCTCTGGACAAAAAATAAATTGAAAAGTAGTATTCCAACTAATCTTTTAAAACATTCTGAGCCATATCAAAAAAGGTAAATATATCGTATGGTCGTATCGTTACCTCCCAGTCATACCGAAAACTTTTGTTTTATATTATGTGTTTTCTGGTTGACGAAATATTAAATTATCTTCCTCTCTCGCACCAACAGCGACTAACAGACTAATGGCAATGCTCGGAAGTCTGCCAATGACCTACAACTGAAATGCCCAAACATCAGACCTTTGACCTCAACGAAATAAGCATACCGGTAAGTTTATTTCGACTCCGTGCCGTGGCGGCATAGAGGAGAAAGAGATTTATTTTTTCGTCAACCGAAATAAAATGACAGTCACCGTAATAATAAATATGTTAACAAGTAATAACTTGTTAGAATTAATTGATAAAAACAAATAAAAGAAAACTGATTAATGAATGAAAACTGATGTCCAATCTGTATCGCGCATTATCAACATGAGCAAAGCCCATCCACTAGAATTAAAGAAGTTTATGGATAAAATATTGGATTTAAAGTTGAATGGTGGACGATTTGTTACGGGTATATTGCGAGGTTTCGATCTTTTTATGAATCTAGTCGTGTATGATGGAACAGAGCGTAGAAAAGATGGGATCACTGCACCTGTTGGAATGGCTGAATGGTGGTCGTGCGTTGAAATTCGATATTAATGTTGGAAGCATTGGAACGGATACAATGATTTTAAAGTGAACCAACCGAAAACGACAAAAGAACCCAATACCCTAATCCATGATTTGTGCATAGACTGCTATGGAACATCCAATCCATTTACCAAGCTTGTTTTTTAGTAAAAAAAAATTTGTCACTGTGTTATTTTTGCAATATAATTGAAGTAGGCCCACAACATCACCATTTTTCCTCAGCGAGTGTTTTAATCCATATATCTGTATAGGAAAAGCACATACACGTCTCACATTTTAATTTGAATTTATAAGTTGTTGCCCGATGTTACATCGTGTTTTTGTTTTATTCTGTTTTTGGGGGACGGGCACGTACTTGTACGTATTTAACTTTTTTTATTAAGTTATGCCCGTCCTCCAGGTCCTCTGTATTTTGTTTGTCCCTTTGTTGTTTTGTGTTTTGTTTGTATCAGAGTGACCGAATAAAATTGATTGATTGATTGATTGATTTTTAGTGTCGTGGGCCACTTTCACATGGGGAAATTCATTGTGGGCCGCAAACGGTGTTACCAGACTTGAATACCAACCCAATTCCGATTTACGTTATAATTTGAGCGTCGCTAAATCAAACGTCTGGATTGCACAACACTTTTGCGGATTTTTGAACACAAGATGCACACAAAGACTTTAGGGATAAATTCGTTATTTCAAGTAAAATTTATAAAAAGACTAAAAATTGCTTATTTCGAAATTCTGCAAATTCATAAATTAGATCGATAAAGGGCCCGTTGTAATTATACAACAGATGCCAACCAAAAATATAATTGGATCGATGACACCAGATGCTAATTAGTATTCCAACCCGAATCGATAACCCTAATGGAATCGATATCACCATACACGCATACGTATATAAGGTTTCAATTGGATATTTGGAAGGAAAATGTATTGAAGAGGAGGTATTAAAAGGTCTTGTATTAGGAGTCGCATCTTCTGGATCGGTGTCGTGTCGTCATGTCTTCATCGTTTGTGTTCCGTGTATATCTACAATATTAAACTACATCAACAACGTTCAACAACATGTTATTATTTGCTACATGTTTTTAATTGGCTAAAAGACCATGAATGAGACGACCACGTCTATAACTCTGTTTTATTCTGTATGCTCATATTTATTCGCTGTTTAAGTTAGTTAACTTAGTTACTCTGCTGTAATTGGAACCGCAAGAAGATTATTTTGTGATCGACATCTATTACAACTTCAGTGTCCGATAAGCTGACTGGAAGAACCTGAGTGGTGTTATCAATTTTGGTACGCCACAAAAGTCAACTTAACTTTTATGCAAAATGCACATACATAGGCGTAAAATATGAAGGAAAAAAAAAATCAGCAATTTTTCTAGTGCGAAACTTGCCTTCGATTGTCATTGTGAAATTGTAGCCTAAGCCCTAAATTCTAGTTAGATTTGATATCATACCAGGTGATTTTTATGTTAAAATGTTTATATGTCCGTATTTATATAAAAACTTCAATTGAGGCCGCATGCGTACGAGAGGCCGTGGTTCGCTATATGATTAAGCCGTCTTATCGTATTTCCTCTCCCCTGAGATAAATATGTAAATCCTATCCTATTTCTGTAGTCCGGTTTCGCAAGAAGGGGGGGGGGAGAGAGATTTTATTATGTCGTCAACCAAAAAATACAGTCATATGGCAATAAGTAAAAAAAATTCGGTATGGACATGATGGAGCGATACGACCATATAAGAGACAATACATAACATCAATGTAACATCTATGACGGTCATCGAAGTCAACTCCCACCATATACGCTAATTAAGTTTAACACTGAAAGATGAGCAGTGGAAATTGATTTTGAGTTGAGTTCGAGTTCCTGATTTCAAAATCCTATTCTAGATTATAAACAATAATAGCATAAATATTGACACCCTGGGAAAATCGCACCCACAGACCAGTCATCAGCAACCGCGGAAATTTGGACTGAGTATATTTGTATCCGTTGGCATTTACGCCCGCGAACATTTCTTCAAGAGAGAGAGAGAAAGAGTTTATTTCATTTGTCAAACCGTAAATATATACTACTACGGTCAAACCAATGACATTAAAGGCGATGGAAACTGCTTGTACAGGGCAGTATCCGTCTCGTTATATGGAACACAAGATGATCACAAACAATTACGCCTCTTGACAGCAATTTTTATCATCAATTCATATTGATAAGAGATGATTCAGGGATTCATTGCTCAATTTACATCCGCTAGGCGGCGTAAAATGAAATTGTTATTTTCTATCATTCTATCCCCCCAAATTTTCCCGTTTTACTTGGGAAATCGATTAGAGGGACATAAAATGTCCTTCGCAAGTTATCTACAAGTCCGTTCCGGTAGGTTTATGTAGGTTTTCCACTCCGTTCCGGCAATTTAGGGTCCGTTCCGGTAATTAAAGAAAATTAATTTTACCACTGTCCCCTCAAGTTTGCCGATTTATTATAAAAACTGCAAGGAAGTATATGAAATGACATTTTCAAGACATCTAAAGGTCCGTTACGGTAGGTTTATGTCGGTTTTCCACTTTCCCATTAAAGAAAATTAAATTCACCACTGTCCCCCTCCAAGTTTGCCGATTTAATATAAAAATTGCATGGAAGTATATAAAATGACATTTTCAAGACATCTAAAGGTCCGTTCCGGTAGGTTTATGTTGGTTTTCCACTCCGTTCCGGCAAATTAGGGTCCGTTCCGGTAATTAAAGAAAATTAAATTTACCACTGTCCCCCTCCAAGTTTGCCGATTTAATATAAAAATTGCATGGAAGTATATGAAATGACATTTCAAGACATCTAAAGGTCCGTTCCGGTAGGTTTATGCATGTTTTCCACCCCGTTCCGGTCCGTTCTGGTAATTTAGGGTCCGTTCCGGTAATTAAAGGAACCGCATTCTACGTAGTTTTTCCAAGTCGATGTAGTTTCTCTTCTATTCATTTTTTTATCCACCACCGCAGCCACCTTATCGTGTGTATGTAGTTTACTGGTTACTAAACATTTGTTTGTTCCTAATTTTATGCCGTGCGATTTCTAACGTGTATGATATTTAAATTAACATCACCGTAAGTCAGTAAGTGGGTCTCGCGTGTTTAGCAGGTAGGAACTCAGTGGGTGGATTCAATTCTTCCAACAGTCCAAATTGCATGCAACTGCAGCAATGACCAACAACCTGCAATCCGCGCGTTGTAAACTGCGGCAATATTTCTAGCTCTCAGACGGACGCGCAAACCTTCGATCGATGTCAAAGGCTTCGTCAGATACCGGTAACATGTGTAGAATTACAACTGGTAAACTGGCATTGTGCTTCTGTGCTTAGGTGTCAGTGATAGCAGGAAGGGATTTATAGTACCTACTCAAAGTAATTTTGTTTTAACAGAGAAGGTTCTGATTTTTTGTGTAAACCCACCGTAGTTGTCGTAAAGATGGGGTCAAATTGTAGTCTTGCTAAAGCATAGCTATGATCGTCCGAAATGGCATCTGTGCTGACTAAAATGAACTCACCAACGCCAGCGATCTTTCTCTTATCGGTATCGTTACGGCGAGAAAACGAGAAAAATAGCTTGCTCAATTTCGGATGATTGTCTGCATGTTTTTGACTACCATCTGCATACTTACTACCATCTGCATACTTTGGGGGGGGCCTTATTACGCCACTGCAGCACTGCGACTTTGCAGTGATGTAATTTTTGAGTGACGTAGTCAGGTGGGGTTAGGAATGACATCTGGAAAAATTGTTGAGCCAGGCCAACTAGAAGTACTTGTGGGCCTGTACCCACTTATTTTATCAATTACATCATTTTAATCATTAATGTTACTTTCATAATTAATTTATTTTTTAGATGTTGTCTACTATGAGTAATACAACTAGAAATGCACCTTTTGGTACAGATGACACCCCAAACCTTCAAATGAAAATAGTTGGTGGGAAGAGAGTTCAGATCGCCATTGATAGTACAAACAATGAGTAAGTTCATACGAATCATATATCGTATATAGCAGGGCTTCCCAAACTGGGGGTCGTAGTCCCACAGAGGGTCAAGCAAAGAATTTTAGGGGTTGCAAAAAATACACCAATTTCACACAAAGTACTATATTATCTATTGTACTTTTTTAGACTTTTGATTAAAAACACATTTATTAAAACTAGTGCAAAACAGAAGTCTCACGATTTGGGAGAATACATAGAACCAGCGAAGCAGCGCTTGTATAACAATGCTGACTTTGATCATAAGACCCATGAAGTGCGAGCATCTCGGAACAGGGGGTTGAGAAAATTTTTAATATATTGGAAGGGTGCTTTCTTAAAATTTTGGGAAGCCCTGGTATACATTATATGCCTAGATTGAACATTGATTGTATATTCTAATTTCTAATGGGGTTGTGATATCTTTTTCAGGTCATCAAATGATATCCTTAATAAGTCCTGGCCTTTACCAAGGATTGGCCCACATGGAACACCTTCCATATTAACGCAGCCTAATTGGGAAGCATATGATTCAAGATTGCAGTCTGGTTTCAACACTTCTGATCAACATAACTTGGCAAGAAATGTATGCAATATGTTGTAATATTCTCAATACTTGATTCAGGAGAAAATAATTTATTATAAAACATGAGCTTTGACTTGATCCTGTAAATGAAACATTCAGAATAGTTGAATTTGGCCGATGTTTCGTTTTAATATTGACATCTATATAATGAAACAAATAATCAGCTGACAAAATGCATTTTAATTGTTCGAAACACCTAGAGAGAAAAACGTATCCAAAATACAATTTAAATTAAGTTCATATTTAATTTTCATGTTTATAACTGTTTATCATTACCAGAGCTTTGTTCTAGGTTGTTAGGCTAATTATTTCATGAGTAATATTCAAGGTCTTGTGATTTCTAGAAAAAGGATATAATCAGTAATATTCTCATGTTTTGTGGATCACAACTTATTTTTATTTTCTAGGTTTCTTCGTATACATCTCCTATGGGTGATCGTTCACATTCGTTCAAGCATGGATTACCAGTCCTTAACACAAAAGCAGTATTGCCTCCCATAGCAACACAATCTGCAGGTGAGCTGGTGACAAAATATGTATTTAATCACTTTGATAATTGTGTTCTTTTTTGTCATCCTATAGTAACAATCACAATTTGATTTTACCACATATATTCATTCATGTACATTGTTGCTACCTTTTTCATTTCAATTCTATTAATTTTACTTGCTTGGCGGACACAGAGTGATGTGAGTCGGCCCACAATGTGGAACCACTCAGATATAGATATGCCCAATATCCATAATGGAGTAGTAGTTTGGTATTCTGCAATTCATCTGTCCAAATTCTTTTGATCTTGATCATTGTAATTCGCAAAGCATGATGTATGCCAATTGCCAATCATTCCTCAATAGTTGGAGATAATATTTTCCGAATGACTGGAAGCTGGAAGCGGCCGGAAAGCATGGATTTTCAAGAGTCTCGAGGGTCTAAAAATCTTTCTGATACTGAAAAAAGCATTTATTTTTTTTTTTTTTCATTTGAAAATGGGAGGAGGTTTCGATCAACAAAAGAACCCCCCTGGGCCCCCCTGATGCCCCTGCTAGGCATAACGAGCGCTGGTTATAATAAATTAATGAATTCGATATACAGCAATAAATTCTATTTAGTTAATTTATCTATTTTTTGTATTGTCTCATTTCGCTCATGATACAATTCAAGAAGGATGTTGATGAGTTTTATGGAGTTATCACTTCTCTCTTATGCTCATCTGCGACAGAAAATCAATGAGAGTTGAATTATTGGCCTAAAATTGACCCAAAAATCATAAAGGCTTTCTATTACCACCCAGGAACATTGTTATCATTTGTTTTCTTGTCCGTTTTTATGATATTTACATACTTGCCTGTATGTTTGCTCAGTGAATTGAGTTGTATTGTACTCCTTCAATTTGTTTTCATTTCCCTAGTTATGGTCAGCTGTGTTGAAAGGTTTCTTTTATTATCAGTATCCAATAGCATTTAGGGTTATGAAAACAATTTGCTATTATTGTTCTATATTGAAAATGATCATTAAGGGTTCTTGTTTTCTATGAAAGTGGAATTTTTGTTTCAATAAAAACAATGGCATGTACCACCATTCCATTTTAACAAAATTTGATTTTTATGACGTGATAGGCAATTCAGAGTAATCTACTATTCTGAATATATCATATGATTGTGATGTCCCAAATCATGATGATAACTCAGGAGATTTGTTCGGAACAAATAATGCTGATAAATTGACATTGCAAGTGTCGAATATCGGACTTATTGTAAATTGGGTCATGTTTAACAAATTCATATCAAGTGAATGTGATGAAAACAAGAAAATGTTTTGATTGGTTGTCTATTTTAAAAAAAAATTCAATGACAACATCTAGGTCATCTTTGTATCTCCAAACCAAATAAAGACACAATTTGTAAGACAATGGGATTCGCGACAAAGGGTCACTGGTACAAATGTCCCAAAGGCCATATTTACATCATCGATGGTATAAACTTAGTTTGGAATTGGTTCAATCATTCAATTCGTTCTGTACATCCTGATTCAAGGTTTATTATTAACCCGGACTTCAGTAAAATACATTGGATAAGATCCAGCAAACATCCTATTCAATCATTAAATAAAACAATGATTATTGTAGTAGGCTATCTAATACAATACAAATTGTTAAATTTTCTATTTGATCTGCTATGTTGACTCTTGTGGTTTGTTAGGTTAAGTATACTTTGAAATAAGTGTGTCAGTGTTAGCTTGATGTGCCAGACATAGGTACACTCCCAACATATTATGATAAAGTAGCATAGTAAATATCAAACGCTTTTGAAGTAGTGTACAGACAATACATTGTAATTGTTGAGTATGCCACTCGACTTGAGAAGGCAAACATTATAGTTTTATTTGTGCAATACTTCATTGTTGAGTTACGTGTAGATGAATACATTTAATTATATATTTATGAATTTTAAAACTTTTTATCAGAGGATAATGCGTTTCAATGAAATATTTATGTGCTGACCGGTTAGGCATTGACCATCCAATTATAGTGCACTCAATTTTGAAAGTTAAGCATGGGTATGGACCGCACATGATGATTTGTGACACGACATAATTTTGTTTTGAAAGAATTTTATTAAGGCAAGTTCGTTCAATCACTCACTCATCTCTGAGCAAAGAATTCACTCAAGTAAGATCAGGTGTACTCACTCAAAAGTGAACGCTCATCTCTGAGTAAATTATGCGTTACCAGCACGGCAGCACCATTGATATGCTACTGGAGTTACATAGTTTTATGGCGTTACATTTTGTGCAAGGGAATTCTGATTCATGCTTGACTTATGCTATGAACTTATTGTGAGCTTTCTTTTTCATACACATTGAGGTGAAAGTTTGAGGACAATTATAATGTTTCATACTAAAAATACAAAAACATCTTCTTGTAATTTTAATGATTGTGTGTGAACCAAATACAAGGGCCAAGACCTTATCTGAATTGTTTTTTGAATAATACAAAGGGGTAGACTGGTGTTTGCCTGTCCCATTTCACTTCTGTCTCAAATTTCGCAAGTCTTTTGTGATTCTTTATAATAACAGAGTGCCACGTGTTATAAGTAATGATAAGATACTGTGACCCATGTTGAACCATAGCATTAATGAGATAGAATTACCAGTATATATCATAGTGGTAGGGGGGGGGGGGGGGGAATATAAATAGTGGAATTAAAAAAATATATTACAAAGATAGTTTTACAATAATAATATTTATTTAAGATTTGGAATTTTTCGTGGTAAAGATTTGGCGCCTTGTATTATATCTACATTATGTATTATTATAGGATACCATAGTCCAGTGGCTCTCTAACTTTCATGATCCATGGCCACTTTTTGAAGATTCTCAAAACTCTATCGCCCCCTGCTATGTTTTTAACAGGTTTCTGGCAGCAATTTTATTTGCCACCGTCGATAACAATAAAAATCCGACCAATACATGAATAAATTTCACAGTCAAAAAATGTAATTCAAATTAATGTTGTCATCATGAATGATGTCAAGTAAGGTCCTTTGCCCATGGCCATAGAGAACCGTTGGTGGCCCTGTAGCGAGCTGAGGGCCCAATTTGAGAAATCCCGCTATAGACCTATTAATTTAATAATAAATATTTATTAAAATTAATAAAAATGCATCCTTGGAGTATATTAGTTATGGATCGGTGTCTTTTGATTATTGGAGGACATATTATAACATCTATGAAATCGTGTTTCCTCCTATGTAACTTTGTATCTGTAGCTATTTAGCTTGTGTAACATACAGTACTTCTCGGTGCATTATCCTCCAATTAAGATATAGATAATATGACTATTTCAGATGGTGTGTTTTGAATTTTGTTCCTCACATTGAATGTCACATTATGTAGCAAGAAAATTACAATGTTATTCAACCCAAATAGATGAGATTTATATAGATATACTGTAAGACAGTAATTAAATGTAATTTCAATTATTTTCAGGACCCCATGTACATATGAATCAACAAATGCTGTCATCTTTGAATTCTAATTCTCATGAATTTGAAGAGTCAACAACTTTAGAAGAACAAGTTGAAAAGCAATTAAAGAAATTCAGTGCTCAAAAATTAAAGTAAGAATTTTGAAAATTTACTTCATTCTTGAATTAGATATATATGAATTGGGTCAGAATAAATTGCTTTTTAAAATTTTTCAAACTGTTTGCTATAATGAGGGATCTTTTAACTGGATGTGCCATAAAAATTGGTACTGCCGTAGTATGTGAACCAAAATGGTGGACAACGGAATGTAGTGTGTGTACCAAGTTAGGGTTAGGCCATAATTTCAGGTACAAATATTACGGGAGTCACTTGGCTAGTTCCCGAACTAGTAATAGAACTAAATTAGGAAAAATTGGAATAAAATTATGGCCTAACTCTAATAACCTGGTACACATACTATCCGCCATCCATCCGTGTCCGCCATCTTGGTTCACATACCCTCCTACGGAAGTGCCTAAAAATCATACTTGGATGTTTATGGTCATGTTTTTCGGAAGTTTGATTCAAAATAAAATAAGTAGCATCAAATGTTTTGAGCCTGATTTGAACAACATAGTCGCATACATATAGCTTCAAGCCACCAGTTGTTTAGCCTCCATGCAAATTATCACATATTCTTATATCTTATCTCAACCAAACTACTATTTTTTATCAGCCTATTGTAAATTGCCTGTTTCCTTTCGATATATTTTTTATTTCAAACAATTTTTGGATAAAATTTTTTGAATTGGACTGCTGCGAGCATGATCATGATTTCAAATGAAATTCTCTAATATAAATCTTAATTTGTGATATTTCTGACAATACATGAATGGTAATTTTTAATTTACGCTGCAAACAAAAATATTGAGATTGAATAATATTTCAAATTATATAAATCTAATTTCATTTGCAATTTAGAATAACAGACTGCAATGTTCTGAATACAATGTTAAACACATTATTAAATCTTGAATATATGTAGCCTAATTTAAATCAGAACATTGGTGAAATAGGGATTGGTTAAAATGGTTATATTGTGCAATGCCTGCCTCTTACATGAACATATTATATGCATATAAACATCCTATCCCACATAATTTGGGGCAATAAACAAAGTCGTTCATTTTATTATCGCTATTAAACTTTATTCTAGCCTTTGATCTGTGAATCATATAGTTTGTAATTTTTGTTTCTTAAAAAAAATTATTTTTTCAGGAATATGTATATTGACTTGACTACATATGACCGAAAGTTGACTGGTTTAGTTACGGAATCACAATTCTCACTTATTTCATTGAGGCATGACTTGCCTCTCAAACTTTCAATACTAAAGATCATCTATGCGAAATTTGTTGGTAAGTGTTCTTTTTACTGTAATATCATTTTATGGTCTAATAATAAAGATATTATTGATAAACTGTAGAATTCAATAAATCTCTCAGGCTACTTAGTAAATACTTGAGTTTGGATATAATATCTCTATTGATTGATTTTTTAAAATCCACATGGCCAAACATATTATATTCTACTTTGTACGATTGGGCACTGTATTTTTAGCGCATGAATCATGCCTGTGGAATCTAGAGTTCTGTCTGAAGAAAAATGAAACTAGACTTCGCACTACCAATCATTTAAAAAAAATACCTCACGCTAGGTTGGAGGAAATCTCAAATCCAGCTCCCACCTTCGAGCAAACCTAATTTTTAACCACAAAAACCATTTGCGTATGAAAGACTTTTTTAATTGCATGCACATGTTTAGCTTAATTTTTTTTTATTTTTGACGAAAATTTGGAATCGATAACTATCATAGAAGTCACAAAGAAATTGTATTATTTGGTATTTCTCATGTTTTTTGGACCGGTCTCTAGATAATTTGAAAATATAGCTATGCCTATATCGATAAAAACATGCGGAACTCCGACTCTGTAGCTCTGCCATGCTGCCATGAACTTCAGCAGATCAGATGTTTCCTGGAACTGTGTCTGCATATTCAAAATATTGAAAATTTATGCATTTTGCAATTCTCTATTCTCTTTATATTTACTTTTATAATATGTTATAGATTTCAAAGATCCAAGCATGATCAACTATGAAAAAATTCTTCAATTCCTCTCAGATTGTATCAACCAAACTATATTAAGTAAATCACCAACCTTACTTAACACTGGACATACAAGGTAAGTATTTTTATGATTAATGTATTCCTGTGCACAAATCACCTCCATGCATAGGAGTAATGCTGTCATATTCAGGATGGTTCTTCTGTGACTGTGACGGACTAAACGCCAATATGGAATTAAAAAAAATATATATATCAAATATGATTGACTTCTAATTAGCGTCCGAACTGCAACTCTTTCCCATTGTCGAAATGTTGCGTTGTTGTGTATATTTTACAGATATTATAATGGACTGTTTTTTCTAAAATTTTGAAACCTAACGCACCGAAAAAGTTTTTATCAGTCAAACTCGGTTGACTGCGAAGCCTCACCCATTTACAGTCAATGTGCTTACCAGATCACTTTTTATGGCCGAAGTTTTTTCTACGAATTTCAGTTAGTATGTGGAATCCGCTACATTATAACTGCTTTACTGATACTATTGACACGAACTGCTCTATTAAGACTTCTGTTAATTAGTATTTACTTATCCAACTGTTCTGCACCATGATTCTATATACAGTAGTTTTATCATGCCGTGGCTTCATCAATGACTATTTGTAAAAACCACTTTTCCTCTTCATGTTGATTATATATTTCATTTTTTAGGACAAGAACAAGTCCTCCTGACTTTCGTGATGTTGTTTCACCTTATGTACCTTTAATTCAGCAAAATCCTAAATCAATGTCGAATATGCAAGGTAATAGTTTATTCAGATTCTCCTGTATTTGTCAACCCGGTGTGATTTTTGAAACAATTCCAATTTATTAGCTTGTTTACAACTCACAAATTTTTGCATTTGATAATTTTGTAATAAGATTTTTTTTACAATTACAAATAAGAAAAGATTGTAACTGTAGTTGTTATTTATTCACACATTGAAATTATTGGCTATTGATGAAAATCACTTGAAAAACATCGAACAAGTGTGCTGCATAATGGATTTATTTAAACCATATTATATGATTCAATTGAAATTTATAATAAATTAATTAATTTATGAAAATTGTCAGCTCGCAAAACAGACCGTTCTGATACCTATCTACATTAACAGTCAAAATGACCATCTATTTTGACTGTTAATTTGTACATGTAATATTGAATATTCGGTACTCTTGTAGTATGTGTACCAGGTTAGTGTTAGACCATAATTTTATTCCGATTTTCCTTACTTTAGTTCTGTTACGAGTTCGGGACTGTCTGTGTTAGCCAAGTGAATATACCTCCTGCCCATAGCCTTCAGTCCCTTTACACAACTTGAAGTAAAGTAGGCGAACAAAATTAGTTACCTCCATATTGGTACACATACTTCTGGAGCGCCGAATATTCTATCCAAACCATATATGGATTAATAGTTGTTTCTGTTTTTTATACTTCGATATCCTATTTTTTTAGAAGGTCCAAACGATGGCCATGTTTCTCAACTTGGAAAGGAAGCCGATGAAAAACTTGTTGAATTAATATCAGCTCAATTATCTCCGAAACAAAATCTGGAAATTGATGATTTAATCAAATCATTTCAAGAACTAGACAGGTTGGTAATTTCTCATACAAGTATTATTAATTAATAATGATAGATATTGGAAGGAATCCAGGCATTGCATAAATAATATGTTATAGTTCTCATAAATCCTATATATTTTGGATCATTCTCGCATTTTATTATTTAACATTCACTTGCTTTTCTGTCTTAATTACTGTACCTACCTACATAACCCAGTTATGTTTCAAAAATAAAGCAAACAATTTTACAGGGTGTCCATAAAGTTTCTTTCGATTTTAAAAAATTCATCAATAAATGTTGAATTTTTTTAATAATAAATAGGCTTTATATACACCCTGTATTACTTTACTATTTTTTTTTACAAAATTTTTTTTCTTTTTTTTCTCAAAAGTCTGAAATGAAATCAGGCGAAAATGGTAGGTCATTTCAGAATTCTCCAAAACTGCTTGAAAATGCATCAAGTCATTCGCTAATCACAAATTATAGATGAAACCCATCTTGACGCCAAATACACAAATATAACATATTCCAATATACATGAATGGCAAAAGTTTCTATACATATTTATCAGTCTGTAATTTATTCAGATTGGAAAAAGGAATGCTTCCAATTCATGTTGTGAAGTCAACATGTATCAGACATCAACTTCCTTTCACTTCATCTATTCTAATGAAATTATTACAGAGATCTGAAACAACTGCGGGAATGGCAGAGTAAGTATTTAAGCTTATATGATATAAAGCATTTATATATATATATGATCTGTGCCCGTCTGTTTGTCCATTGCCGTACTATAAATTCGAAGTCTATTTCCTAAGTACTGCACATAATTCTGTGTACATTTCATTCCCGAACAATGTCATGCTATGGTATGTCCAGAAGAAATCAAATATCAATACAATTAAAATCTGGTATAATCGATATTGTAAATTCTTTATTATAGGCAAAATTTATCATTTTTATCATTTATCATTTTCAATTTATAGTTTGGAAAATGAATTGTCAAAACAAGACAGATATTCTGAATTCTTCAAGATACATGACTAAATTATGATATTGGAAAGCATTGATATAGGATAGGCCATAGTTATCCCAGAAATAAGATGATAAGACAGATCGATCGAGTGACGAACCACGGCCTCTTATCTGGTTCCCAGTCCATGCCAAGTATGGGAATAGTTAGGCAGATGTTAGTTTCAGATGCACGGACGTATGGGAATAGTTAGGCAGATGTTAGTTTCAGATGCACGGACCTGATATTACCATGAAATGTGGTTAACATGTTGGTTGTAACTGCTTTTTATATTAAAAGTTGAACTCATTTTAAAATTATTTCATATCAACCTATTACAGTTGGAAATTATTCCTCGAGCCTCTCAAACGAATTCACCAAATGCGACAAATACCAAATGGATCTGATATGGAAACAGACATGAACCATTCATCAGAAATCAACAAAATTTCTTCCTCTGTACCATGGGAAAGAAAACCTTTGGGGCAAATTGGAAACATCTCATCTAAGCAAGAAGGTCGTGTACCCGAGCCTAATCGTCATGTATCCGCGTCATCATTTCCATCTTCTCTTCCTTCTACATCCTCAACAATTAACAGAGAAATTCCTCAGCTACCTGATGGTTTGTATGTTTCTATTCTTGTCACAAATGATTTGGGGTCCTTGGGTTCAAATCCCACGCCCACTACTACTCTCGGGATATCAGAAACTGTGTAAGCTAATATACATTACCTAGAAGGTTTTGGTGTTTTTGATACATAGGTAGTCCCCATATAGCATTGGCTGCTTTTGTAGAGCCCTATTCAGTGCAAATTGAAATGTTTTGTCAAGTTGAAATGTTTTGTTTTTGATTTACTCTTTTAAATAGTATCAGTAGTTAATTTGCTCTGATCTTTAGATTTTTTTATACAATATTATTCACACCTTCCACTCTAATCAAGGCATTGATACAACTAGCCACTGATTTCTGACAATATGTAAGAAGCTGGAGGATTAGAATGTTTTTGGTTCAGCATTGCCTACCCTATGTGAGGTGGGGGGAAGGCATAGTCTTAGAAGTCCAAGATGTGTAACTTGAATATAAAAATCGAATGTAAACTGATTGTCTGAGGAAGTCTGATTTTGGTCGGACGAAATGTTACACAAATGCATTCATGTGAGTGTGCAGCAGGACTCATACTACAGATAATTGGTTGTATTTACTTAAACGCAATGTGCCTAAATCATATTTAAGTCAATTACATTTCTGGGACCGCAAAAATTTCAGCTACTGCATAATGGTTATTCCTCATTTAACATTCAGAAATGGTAAAAGGCATCCAAACTCGGTAATTAGCGATCATTCAAATATTTTGTATTTTTTTAGGTTGGGATGAGCATCAACCAGTAGACAGAGATGATAATGTATATGTTTCTCCACGACAAACTGAACCTTGGTATAATAAATTCAATAAACTGTCTCATGCATTACGTACATACCACCCATACAATGCAGGTAATGAGAAATATAATCGTACTAATTATTTTCAACTGACAAAAATAAAAATATCTATGCTATACATGAATCATGTGACAAATAATTACTTCAAATTTAGAAATTCAATTTGTTGGGGCAGTTGATATATTGTGTAGCAGTGCCTTTCAGTAAAACCATTTTTCTGTCACTGCCCTTTGAAATAGTTATTTTGTGTTTACATCATTCACGAATTCAGTTTTGCTTTCAACTCAATTTTAAATTTAGGTCATTATACAGGGTGTCTCAAAAGTAAATATACACTTCAAATTTTGCTTTTCAGGTACTCATCATAGAGCGTTCATTTTTTCAGAAAACATAGTATGGACAAGTAGTAAAATTTAGGTATTGTTTGCATTTTTCATCAACCCATAGAATGAAAGGAGATTGACCCAATAAATGCGGGTGCGAAAATTGCTGTTTGGAAAAAGCGTATAAATCAGTGAAGTAAATTCAGCGCTTCTATAACTTTTTTTTCGTATGAAGAATATATTCCTACTACCATCCTTGGTCATAATATGACAATAATAGTTATTTTCGGACTATTTTACGCTTATGTTCATGTTTTGTGAAGTATTCCCGCAGTAACTAAAATCATTTTAGGCATCCAACTATGATCCGTGCTTGATCCGTTAACAGTTTTTTTTTTGTAAATTTTTTATTGTACTACTAAGTGAATTTTATTTGTGTAGGTATTTCAAAGCTTAGAGATACACGAAAGTATTTGTCATTACTTCAAAGATAAGTCATTCGAACCAGCGGGAAACAATTTTGCGCACATAATAAACAAACGAAGATTCCAGACAACTATCGTGAACATGCTCTCACATATCATTCATTAGTTCGCGTTTCGCTTGCGAAGCTGAGTCTGGTTTTTCTGCAAAGGTGACGTAACGGTCTTTGAGCAGAGCGCTTGAAATCTCGTTTCTTTGTAACACGTATTCATCGAAGCGATAAGAGAGTGAAACGTTCTCTCAAAATTTTTTGAAATTTCTTTCTTCTTACCGGCGTATGGTCGAACGGTTTGCGCGTACGTCATTTGGGCGCGTTTTAGTAGAAAGACGCGAAAATAAGCTTTTTAAAGAGATATTGGGGGTGTTCCTTGCACGTTTGTTAACTAGTCATTACATATTATAAAATGGTACAAAAAGTCGATTGTAACCAGCGGAAAAAGAGGGTTCAGAGAATTTGGGGACCTCCTGGAGTATGCGCACCAAGATGGTGCACAACCTGAACTCAGGTTGTGTACCAGGTTAGGGTTCAGGGTATGCGACATCTTGGTGCGCATACTTCAGGAGTGCCGAATTTAGAATTAATTCGGCCTCACGCAACGAACAGTTATTCAATTCATCGTAAATTTATGAAAACCGGATCTGTAGTTGATGCACAAAGATCAGAAAGACCAAGGAGTGGCGATCAGGAAAACATTCAGAGCCGATTTAAATCCAAATTAAAGCGGCACCAAGTTTGGTTTAGTCTTTTGTACGCTTCTTGCCAAACAGCAATTTGGGTTGATCTTCTTGTTATTCTGTTGGTTGATAAAAATGCAAACAATATCTGAATTTTACTACCGGTACTTATCCATACTATGTTTTCAGAAGAAATGATGAGTACCTGAAAAGCAAACCAAAATTAAGAGTATATACTTACTTTTGAGATACCCTGTATACTAGATTGTTAGCTTGTTGATATTTTAAGACAACGTTCCTCAGACTGTGTTTCACATAACACTGCTGTTTCGCAGAACAGGGTTCGAAATTGACTAAATTGATCGTCATAGCGATCCCGGCCGTAATTTGGCGACTCTGGGTTGTAAATTTATCTCCCAACTGGCGGCCAACAGGTGAACAAGGTTGCAATTTAAACAGTCTGACAGGACTCATGCCAGCTTGGAAGGCATGGCGCTTTTGTATACCGTTATCGTTAATTGTCGGCCTCGTTTTTTTAATTTTTTACAGCAAACTTTATAATATTACCATAGGCTAAATTTTTTGGAAACCAACCATCAATTTTACTTCCTAATTTCTTGGTGCTCTGCCATGCATAACAAAGTGTAGGTGTTCCGGAGCAAAAAAGTTCGACTGTCACTGTTCTGAAGAATGGAAATTATTTTGATGGAAATCCGCTATATCAATTAGCGCACCAATAGTGTACCATGTTGTACCACCATGTTGTATCATTACCACAGTTAAATTTAGTTAGTATATCAACATACACATTCTTGTAACAGAAGTACTCGTTCGTGACGATGCAGAACGAATGACAAAAAATTATAATCTCATTTATGGACTCGGATTTTCTGAGAAAAAAATTGAAAATGCAGTTCAGCAATCAATAATACCAAGGAAGGATGGTTCACCAGGAAACAAGGTTTCTGTCAACGCTCTTCTGGAATTATTAGAAGGAAAGAAGAGATTGCTTGCGTAAAGAACTGGTATCTTATATCTTGAAAAGATGGGTAGATTTGTATAATTTGCTATTTTCAATTTCATCTTTAAATAGTCAAAAAGCAACTTTTGCAATGAAATAGAGATACTTGCCTGGTTTTTACTCTACTTAAGTCGACCACTGGTTATGTTAAAGCAACCTGCGGCAATTTTTTGGCGTAGCAGTGACCATCTCACACGTAATTAGCTGCCACACAAGGTAATTACTCATCGTATAAAAGGGGATGCTGAAAGTGTGTTGCCGATTTGAGTTTACCTATATTCAAAATTTTGATAAATATAATAGTAAGAGCCCTTCACACATGATTTTCTGCTACAATAATTACAATTCTCATGTAAAATGAGTGATTTCACGAGGTAAATTTTAGAAAAATGACATACCTTATTTTATTCTGAATAACTTCAATTTTGAAACCTAATTCTATGGATATGTTCTTGTATAGTTCGACCTGAAAACTGAATTTTCAGAATGAAATATCTTGAAACATGGCCCAAACCAGTCTGTCGCTGTTTAATTTGAGTTCTTCACATTGTTGATGTAATACAGGCATTTTTTTCTATCTGCACCGTTTTTGTTTAAATTTTTCTCTGATTTTTATAGTTTAAAATTTATATTTCTTGTATTTGATATGTATAGTTATTACAAATAATTTTAATTTTAGTATATGACGTTCAACTTTATTTTTTGTAATTTACAACAAGTTTGCACATTTTTTGCCACAAACCAAAAGTTTATCACTGTATATTGTTTTTTGTAATTTTTTGCACTGTGGACTAATAATCGCTGGTTTTACAAATCATCTCGGGACAAGCACGAGTAGTTTGTATATTTGGGGTATTTTTTTAACTCTTGCATTCGAATCCAGGTTTCTTTTCAGCAGAAATGTTGCATCACAATTATTCACCTGATCAAATTCTATACTGTACTTCTAAAATACCATTCACATGCAGTTTTTTTAATCAAAGTGTAGTATGTTTTGTTTCTGATGGGCTTGACTTAATGAGGTCTACAACCCTTATGAACATTGGGGGGAATTGATGTCTGATATGGCCAGAATAATTCCAGTTCTGTGTAGACTACCTAATTTCCCACCGACTGCGTAAACGATTGACGACCAATGAAGGATTTAATATATTTAACTGCATATCCTATACTCTGTTCGCAGAAATACTTGGCCTACTACTACAGTACCTGGAGGCATTCCCATTTCACACAAACATGATTTGGTAAATTAATGTTTCTTATCATTGTCATTTAGTCTATTTTTTATTCTAATACCTTTATATAATTTTATACATTCACTGTGGTGTCTACACCAAACCATCATTAACATGACCAAAGTTATATCAAATACCTCCATTTTTTGTCAAATGTATCAAGTTTAACTTGTGTATAACAATGAAAGCAAACACTTATATAGTTGCCAAAGATTACCAACTACATTACTCCGCTGTGAGCAAGACCAAACAGTGGGCATATTCTAGAGACCTAGACACCAGTGGTTGAGTAGAATTTTTTTTTAAAAAAAAATTTTTCTTAAATCACTCTTTCAATTTTTCACAAAAAAAAAACGACTGTTCACTGGTGAATATGATGATGTGGGCTGACGGACAACTCGTCTAACGAGAGGACTGGTGAATTGCCAGTCTTGTCGCATTTTCTACGGCGACGTTTTAAAGCTATAGGGGTGTAATTTCAATCTTCCTTCTTTCACCAGTGCTCTTGGGAGTCGAGTTGTCTTTGATGAGTTGTCCTTGTAGTCGAGTTGTCTACCTCCCCTCATGAATTTGTAAAAGTTCACTGTCTCAAAATTAGTTTCAAAACTGTGATAATGTTTGAAAAATCACTTCGGTAAAAATGGCGAGGATATCCGATATTTATTAAGAATGATAGGAAGGCCCTAATGGGACATCTTAATAATAAAGAAGGGGATACCCAAATGGTGTTAGACAAATAGATTGATTTGTATTTAAAACTATATTATATTGAATACAGCAACCTAATATTATGGGGTTCAGTAGCTTTATTGGATGTTTTGCACGATGTTTCATATATTCTACCTAATTACACTGTATTATTCCTATTTTCTGCCCTATACTTAGGATAGGATAGGATAGGATTTACATATTTATCCCGGGGGAGAGGAAAGCCGATAAGACGGCTTATCCATATGGCGAACCACGGCCTCTCGTCCGGTTACCATTCCAAGTCGGGTATGGGATTAGTTTTACTGTATTGTTTGTTTTCGGAAGCATGGACTTGGTGGTGGAGGAAGCCGTAACCGACCAGCGGTTACGTGAACCACCCAACGACGGCGAGGAGTCCAGCAATCCTCTCGCACATAACCATCCCTGCATGGGATTCGAACCTGCGAACCCACGCAGAGTAATTAGAGGTGCGGTGGCGAGCGTATTCCTAACGCTTAGCCCGTTGAGCCACACCGCCGCGCCAAATACTTGCTAATAACCACATTTTCTATTAGCGTCTTTGATGAATGTATTATATATGTTTTGTTTTCTAAACGGTACTAATTCGATTTTGTGAGATTTTCTAACCATGTCTTCAATTTATTATTGCGTAAATTTCCTTCAATACTTTGTTTTACTGCATGTTCCACTATTTTGTCTGGTAATGATTATATGTTTAGTTATAGCTGATGCAGTATAGTGATATCTAATGCTTGAAAAATAACGTGTTATCTTTTGTTTGAGGCTTTCAAGGGTAAGGTAAGGATTTTCATATATATTCCGAGGAAGAGAAAGCCGATAAGACGGCTTAATTATGGAACAACGGCCACTCGTCCCGTTACCAGTACATGTGGGTACGTAAATAGTTAAGCAGGAATATGAGTTTGCATCGTAGTCACAGTGCCGTAAAGTCTTGGCTAAAACTTAACAGGTTATTGGAACCGCCGTTAAAATGAATATCTACTCCTAGAGCGCGGCTTGCTTTCGTTACTAATAAAACGCGTAAAACGTCAATTTGAAGTGAAGTGGTTTTTTCGACATCCCAGTTATGCGTGTGTTTGTATTCCCATAGCTTCAGGAAACGCAAAAAAGGCTCTAACGTTCTTCGCACGAAGGCCAAGGTAGCCCGACAAAAAGACTTTTGTAGCACGAATAGCGAGAGTGTTTGTTTGTTCAAGAATCCCAAATCGACCGAATTCTCATGCTATCAGTTTTGCTGAAAGTAGATTTCGTATATAGCTATGAAATAAAACGTTGGAGCTTTTTGACTGTCACTAATGCAATGTTAACCATTTAGTGTGCAGTTCACAAAAAACCTACGATAAATGGCATATCAATGTTTAACAACCCCAATATAGCTCGTGATAGTGGCGTAGCATCCACCCCCGCATCCGCGGGGGGGGGGGGGGGGGGGCAAGCGGTTAGAATTTAAGCCGCAAAACCATAAGCTGCATTGTAAAACCAGTAATGCACATCTTATAACGTTGATGTTAGTTCTGCTCAAATCGTTTTGTTACGTAACAATGCCAGGGAGTCGTCGATTTTCGGCGTCTTGTGGTTTGATCGCACCTGCAAAATTACGAAAGCTGTCAGAATGATGTCGAAAGCAAAACCTCTCAGTGGCGCACAGAAACGCAGAAGAGGAAGCACGTATGAAAAAAAAACAAAGTGACCAAGATAAACGGCAAATTTTAGGTTACCATTGCCTTTTAATAGCGACATGTTATGCTTTTTGACGAAATAAAAAAAGCGTTGTTTTAGCTTATGTCCGAGAGTTTTTAGGGTCATTTCCACGAAATATTTTTGCGGGGGGTCCACGAGAGTCTTGCTACGCCACTGGCTCGTGAGATCTCCGTGAAGTACATAGACTATTTCAGATTAGTATGATTGCTGCACGCGATACAGCTCGTCTTCGCTCATTCGTGAAGTACATCGACTATTTCAAATTGGTATGATTGCTGCACGTTCTGTTGCACCGTAAATATGCAAATATTCCATTTCGTTTTCTCCCGTTTGTTTATACCAGTTGCCAGACGATGCACGCAGTAGTTATATAAGACGCCGGTGTCAGCTCATCCTCTCTCCAAGCGCCCAAAAACGTTACATATGCATCACGTATATCTATAAATATGTCGCGAATTAGCTGCACTTTCGATAAGGCTTGATGATTCAGGAATTAGCTTTTTATTTGAATGTAAACGTGCACGGAATTTCCTTAAATATATGATGTATTTGATTAAACCGGCCCGCATACCATCACACATTCACACTATATGCAACTGAATCGCTGATGCTGCATTTATTCACTATAGTTGTACCCTTGTACGGGTCATAATATTTAACCGAATTTTATATCCATGCCATATTTAGGATTGAATTCTGAACTTTATGGATCTTTGCTGTTTGCTTTTTTTGCCCCCGTTCATGAAAACCTTGCTCACCACTGTAAAACTTCACTCTTATGGTTATCTATCTCAATGGTCTCAACCTTTTCGAGCGATCCAAATTTTTTATTTTAAACAAAATAATTTTGTAATAATCTCTAAAATCTCGCGACCCGCATAATTGAACAATTAACACAATACAACAATTTTGACATAACATTCAGTTTACCAAAAATAACTTGTTTGCCATCAGCAAGTTTTTGACATCGTGGCGTGGCTTTACTTGAGAAAAATAGAAGTTTCGACTCCGTGTCTGTGATATTTCCCACATATAATACAGTTACTATTGAGTAACACTCATAATACATAAGAAACGATAAAATTTACCAGAGAAAAAAATTAATAAGTTTTTTGCTGGAACAAGTAGCGATCCGTAGGTTGGGAAACACTGGTCTAGTTATTCAATTACAATCTACTCAAAGAAATATCTGCTTCAGTTTATCCGTGGTACATTATCTATACATGTATAAAACATTAGCTCCAAATTTTGCATCTACCTCTCAGCTAATGCGCTAAACCACTGATTTAACTCTGAATTTGAATTAACAATATGAAGTTCATTGTATGAATCACCATCATTTAATAATGAACATATCTGTGATGGTGTTCTCAAATTTGGTGCTGTTCATCAGTCGGTTTTAGTTGTATATTGAGAGTTGAATTATGTTGCTTCGTTATATATTTGGTATATTTTTTGATTTCTGTAATAAGGTCTTTTCAAAACGATTTCAATAATATATCTTGATGGTATCGGTATGGTAACAACATGTTAAGTTTATTTGCAATATGAATATAGCGTTGTTCAACAACTGATGTATGTTTAATTGGGTATCATAACAATTACTAGGCAAATATGAGGTTGAAAATACGTAATCACGTTTTCTCAAATCACCTTGTTTATATTTAGATTTAAATGCTCTATTTCAACAAAACCTTGCTTTCTAAACGTTTGTTTATTAATATTATATGTCTAGACGGTGATTCACAAATCAATGACTTTATATAAGTCAGATTCCAGGAAGCCTACGAAATACTTTTACAAATCACGAATTACGCCGTAAATACATTACGCACGTACATTATGTGTCGAGCGAATCTTTTGACGTTCAAAATCGTGATCTTTTTAGCAGTTGGATACTAATCGAACCGTAAATGTTATTCTCAAATTTATGTGTGTTAATTCAAACATGCTCTGTTCATGTTAATTTGAGAACTATCAAATATGCACCATTGACCGAGGTTCAATTGATCTGCTGTCTATAAAGTATATTGTGAACAAAATTAACATGCTGACTTTAAAAATTCGTTTCCGAGAATTTGGGACATAATATTAATCTTGTATTTTTGAAATCGTTTAATATTGGAAAGAATCTTATGATTTTTGAAAATAAATGTTTCAGCTAATTTTGAGGAATATCGGTTGAGGTTTACAACTTGTAATAAAACCTTTTCGTTCGTTCGTTCGAACAGATTATTATTAATTAATGAATTTCCTATCTGATAGAAGCCTGGGCATATTCATATCCACTGAAGTTATATTTTAATATTTTTCTTCCCTTACTTTTATTCTTCAAAGCACACAGGTTTCTTATAAATGTGTTTTTATTTAACGATATAAATAAGCATGAATAAGTTCAAGTCGATCAACGACTATGTATATACTTAATTAAATAATCAATAAACAAAAAATTGGCAGAAAAAATACAAATGTACATCACGTTCACAATTTTTTAAATTCTCTTTACATTGCGTCATAGCAATATCACTCATTTTCGATTGTTAAAATTGGCATTTAAAAATTGCTAAGAAAAAGATTCAACAGTTTACTAAGCATTTCAATCGCATATTCAAGGCATTTTCAGAATTTAAATTCATCCACAAATTGGTGAAATTATATTGTATTCGCAGCCTGTCAGCCAATATACAATTCAATGACCGGAAGATATGCAAATAAAGTTGGCCATTATCGATGAATTATCAGGACATGCCGGTCACTTATTTCCGGATCACAAATGTCAGAGAAAATTCCCACCAATTGGCCAAAAGTCAATTCAATAATTAATCTGTCAAGCACTCGAAATTCTGCCAACTGACTTTTTCGTCTGTCGTCACAGGAACAAGCTGTGCATGAGACTTCGATTGCGTGCTTTATCCACGATTAACGTGTGTAGAATATAGAGTGAGTTTGAATAACTGCGAAATCGACTATACGTTGTTACAGTGTTATTGGTTAGCGGTTCGAGCTTTAAATAATGAATGAATTCAGGGAACACTCGAAGTAGAATCTGCCATTTCCTTTACTTCACTATCGTATTCTTTACTAGTGTATGATTCATTTGTGGTCCTGGATGCCCTCTCGTTGGAAATGTTAATACAAATACTTGCAAGTATACGTCGGTTACTTCCCAACGTCGCTACAATGCAAAATACGTTGATTAATAAATTTATGCTATAAATAGTGTCTGTAATTGTTCGTGGAATGGTTGGGGCTATTAGCAGAGATGCGATAATGGTAGCCATCAGGTCCGTGACAGCGACAAGCATACCACTTACCACCGATCGACGAATTGTCCACGTGACAGGAATGGTTTCTCCAAACATGTTCCCCAAAACTAATCGTTTGAAAATGTACTTCATGTCTCTCTTTGCTTTGATAATTTTCTTGATACTACCCGAGCTTTTTAACTCTTTAGTGTCAAGGTTTCGTACAGATTTACTCCGCAGCATAGGGTAGATGAATAAACTGACCAATAGCACTTGGGAAAACGCCAATACAGACATCATAATGTAAGAAAGCTTATTAGAATTGCCTTTCTTTTCCAAAATACAACCTTCTGGGGTTGGACTATATGTGTTAGGCTCTATGTAGAAATACAACACTGCTAGAGTAACGAAACTCAGAGATATCAATGATATCCAACTGGCAACGTTCATCCATTTTCCAGTCAGATCACGCAGGGAAGGGTGCTGGAATATGACTCTTTGTCGCATCCATAAAAATAGATATGTTGCGTACATACAGATAAAGTAAGCACCAGTTCCTATATCGCATATCACTTCACACCATCTCAGTGCATTATCCATTCGTGGTAGTTGGAAAGCTACGACGTTGAGAACAAGTCTCAAGATTGTGATGACGACCACTGCAACACAACCAGTGTAGATTTTCCCGCTGTTTAGACTTGATGTTCCCGAAGTTTTTCTCCATTTATTTGTTTTTGTTCCATACACTATCAAACTCAACAAAACCAGCAGAGATGACAATAGCAAAAATGCGTTTGTGATTTCACAAATAGTCAAAGGAATTTTGAATGGTTCAGTCGTCGAAATGAAAAATTCCACACTCGAGTTTGTTGCATTTTCAGTTGTGTTGAAAGCCATATTTCAAAGCTAGTTTTGGTCTTTATATTTAGGCTGAAATAGGTAATAAACACAGATTGAATTACTCAACTTCGTTTGTTTGATCACAGTTACATTATCAATTCTATTCCCTCCTCACATAACTATCTCACCATATATAAAACTTAACATTTTACATGATAACAAACTAATCTGAAATGAGTGGAACGATTTGAAAATAATAGACATTCAAATATTCCTGTTCACTTTATGGCCAAAGAAACGAAGCTACATGTAAACACAATTAGAGAGAAAAAATCATGCCGACCTCTCGAGTTCTTACAATAAATGAGCGATTTGTCAACCCGTCGTTACTTTTATATATGACGTGACAAATGACGGCATATGCCAAATGTATGCTTAGGCACGCAAGGGTTGCGAATATTATTTGTCTGCAAATTGATCTATAAATAATGGTAACGTGCATTCCCTCAATAGCAGCGTGAAAATTATTCATAAAATATTTGATTCTTGGAAGAATATTCTAACATTTAGGTAGGGCAAAAGCATGCAACGTTTACTTTCAATATTACACCTGCATTTACAACGACAAAGAAGGTGTAAACTGTAAAGTATACAATTTTTTTTTTCAAATCCCTTATTTTTTCGTTTAGTAATAATTTGTAACAGAGCATTGTGCTAGCGCTGTCCGATTCTCAGAAGTCGCTCATTACGATCCATGTTCGTTATGACCTACTTTGGATGTGCACAATTATTATGACAATTTACTGCATAACTAATAGTTTCGGTTTACTTAATGTACTATATTTATTGGTATATGCGTGCCAGCAACCCAGAAAGGCCATTCAACATATGTTCACTTTAATATAAATTTCAAGTTTCGACCAGAAAACCTTTTTCTGTAACGAACAAGTGAGCAATGCTTAAATATATATTGCACGAAGGTTAAATGATTAATACGGCCACCAAAATACTGTCAAGTGTTTCTCGAAGAAATCGTACTCAATGTCACAGGAAGATGTGTGCGAGCAAAATTTGAGAAATATTTGGTACTGTTGGTTTTAACGGAAATTTGGAAACTAAAGGCCTTCTGTCGACTTTTTCAACTTCAAGTGTAAATATATTGAAGATTTCACATCGATTCTTCTATTAGTTGCGAAAAAGCAAATGTTTCACTTTCTGAATTTAATAAGCGGACGGATTTAAGTTGGTTGGTATTGGAACAATGAATACTCGGTAGACACTCTCTTCAACATAAAATTCATCTTATCGAAAATAATTATCGAAATGAAAATACTTTAGCACTAATTCTATAAATACGTAAGCTACATATTTGTTACGTTTTTGTATTTTTCAACATTTAATCTTATTTAATTTGAAATATAAATGGGAATTTATAAAAATATTGGAAAATATATATTAAATTCCTATAGAGTACCACCATTACCCAATAAGTACCAATTATAAAAAATTACTGTTTCTGAGAAATACCACTATACCAATTGTACAACGTAATTATGGGAAATACTATTTCGAAAACATGAAACTTTTTTTACGGAAAGTCCTCAAAAAAATCTGTGTGCTGACATCCATTTATTGTGGTTCGTGTTATTTAGTTCAAAACACAGGCCGAAATATAGTCACCTTTTTAACATAAATAATTCAAGCATATGAGCTATGATATTCGGAAAAGGTTTTTTTGCATATTTCAACAGTCACGAAATGCTATATATATATTGTTATTAACATTTTTATTTAAGTTTGTCCGTTTACCTTCAATTAAATTTTATATTTGCTGTTTATAAACATTTTGTATATTTGTTACAATTATTGTAAAATAAACATTTGTAATATAAATATACTATCGCTTATCGGAAATTATTAACAAACAAATATTAACATTCGTTAAGTAAACGTGCAGACTTCCTCAAGTCAGAAATATCTTTAATTTGTAAATAAAGTAATGCCATCTATGTGACCTCGACTCTCTCAAAATTACTGAAACAGGTTACTAAAAATATTCTCAATATCTAAGAAATATCTGCTAATTTTGTAGATAACAATTTTGGTCTTTATTTTGCACTTTCGTTGCCTTCACCTATATAGATCAAACATTCAACTCTTTCTACATATCCGAAGTTTTTCATTTTAAAACAGCATTTATGAAAACCTACATATAAAGCAAAACGGTTGGTATTTGTCGCCTTCTGACCAAGATCCAAAGTATAAAAAGCATGACGATCGACCCTAGTGATATCCTACAAAACATGTTTTAATCATACATATTGACAAGCTCTATTTTGGGATTTATTTGGTCTTTACCATTCACAAATATTCCAAAGGTAATTTCTGGAATCATTAAATATTACCAAAAAGTATTGGATATCACAAAACCGAAAATGACAATTTTGACGTAAATTTGGAACTCCTGTTGCCATTAATATATCAAGCAATCACTCAAAAATATATTGCGATCGTTTTTTTTTTCAATTTATTAGACATATGGATAATTCAATATTTTACGACGCAATACAAACAACACCTTATTACTTTGAAAAATGAATATGAACGTAACAAAATTAAATGACGCTTGTTTTTGGGAAGTTTTCATTCCACATGATATACAAATTGGACCAATCTTACGATTCAGTGACATCGGTATTGTAAAGTATAAAATTTATATACAATTTATGATTTCATATCATTCAGGTATTCTTATGAACAATGTCGCATTTATGAAATATGAAGTATGACCATTTTGTTTCGCCACCATAAAAGTGCCCTATAAACAAGTCTTGTGTTGTGCAAGTTTTTTCTTTCTTCATTCATTATTTTAAAATAAATAGACCATGTAAGCATTGAAAAAAAAACTATACAATATGTTGCAAAATATGCTTAACTTGAAACTCACTTCATCACTGCACTTTGCGAAATGAGCCGAATATGACGATTATGGTTGATAATTTTTTCTCTTTAGATTAGACAGACGTGGTCCAACAAAAATGCAAAATATGGGGAAATGGTAGTTATATGATTTATTATTTTCATAGAATTCATGTTTTTATGTCGTATATATTTCGAGAAATAAGAGTTAGAAAAAAGGTATTACATTTGTGCAATCATTATAATAGTGATCTGTATGTATACATTATAGTTATGGGATTGAATTGATATATTTACATATATACATTTAAATCGTAAAATTTTAAACAATCAAAATACGTCATATATATCGATACTCGTGTAAATGAAAATTAGATTGATGTGATTTCAAAGAATTTGATAATCTAAATTAAGTAGCATTTGATTGACAATTACTGAAAATGTTTAATATGCGACTTTCCCATAGATAATAATTGGTGTCACAATTAAACTGAAACCGCTTGTGTTTGTTTCTAAAAAAATCCATTTTAAGAAAACTAATTTTAAAAAATTCTCTAATTTCTGTAAATTACCTTACCTATGGATTTTTGTATATGTTGGGTAAACCATGAAGTAATAAAGATATTAATTGGTTACTCCCGTAGCGTGTGTACCAGGTTGGGGTTAGGGCATTTTTTCCCCCAATTTTTCTTAATTTAGTTCTATTACGAGTTCGGGGACTGTATGTGTTAGTCAAGTGAATATACCCCCATAGATTTCAGTCTCTTTACACAACGTGATGTAAAGTAGGCGAACAAAATCAGTTGCCTCCATATTGATACACACACTTCTGGAGCGCCGATAAGTGTAATAGTTTAGACATTCAATTCCCTGTATGCTTATATGATCCTGACCATTCAGATTAAGATTTCAAATATGCTTTTCAAATATTAGATTCATTTAGCATACAAACAACCAAAAGGGCTCATATTACATAAATATTAAAATAAGCAGACCGTTTTGGCAATTTTCGAAATTCAGTATTATAAAATAAATTTTTTTTTATCTATAATCCTACCCTGACGACACAAACAAATTGTTTATGCATGCAATCAAATTTGTGTAAAAATGTTTCCTCCAGATTTTAGAACTTTATTTACCGCGAGAAGATCTACATAATGCACTGCACTTCGATCTGCATAAATTCTGCGCTGAATAATTTACGTCGAAAAAGAATACAGAAAATTAATATTAAAATGGTCTAGTTTTTAGAGAATTTGAAGTAACTATATGGTGGCATCTCAAGCTGAAGATCTCGGGCTCTTCTACATACTCATCGTCTTATGCAGATTGCTATATATTACGATACATATTATATTGTGTAGGGAATACCAAACCAGACGGACTCTTAGTAGCCCCTTGAGTATCAGTGTGTTAAAGAGCTTGTACCGAGTCAAGTGTGATGATTCCACATTGAAATGACTATTGATTTATCGACAGGTCAGATTCTCGCTGGAGAACGATTTAATGGATTTTATAAACATGCTTGTGCGAATCGTAGTAATTGACGCTAAGTGGCGCTAAAGAGGCCAAATTCCATGTGTTTTTTCTTTTCATATACGTCAACAGCCCGATCGAAAGAACGTCTTGTCTCGAGTGAAAAATCGAGTCTCAACAACAAGCCCGAAACAAATTTGCCTTCACTCAGTTTAAACCAGAAATTGTTTGATTATTGGAAAAACAGTAATTGGTTATTTTGGCTATTTTGTCAAGCATATACCGATGAAACCCATTCCAACAGGTATATATGTGACTTTATTCTCGAAGAGTCAATCGCAAGATATTGAGATGATTTCAGGCGATTGACCACCCTTGATATATAACAGAATCATCTTCTATTTTAAGAATGCGCTCGTAGCGAATTCTTTCATTCATAAATACTAATTTGGGTATTCGGAAGATTTAGGAATGCAGTGTTGCGTAAATAAAAATTGCAGCAAAATTACTGATACGAATGCTGTCTTAAAAAAAAATATATTTTTAAAAGTTGTCTATTTTTTGTTTGTTTTGAATGAAAAAATAAAATAAACTACTAATATTTGGTTAGTAAAATATATTATTTTGCCTAAGTAAATTTACTCAATTAACCTAAAAGTAAGTGTATTTTCAAAGCGACGAGGAATGACTCACGATTGAAAAAGATCAAAGCTAGTAAAAATTAATATGGCTTTGCAGTTGGGAATCAAGTCCAAGTGCTTCGAAAATATTCAGTGATAGGGATTATTCTCAATAGTTTTAAAATCTTTGTATCGCACTATATCTGTATCACATCACTAACAGATTTCGACAAAAAATTAACTAAGAACTATTTTCAAGAAAATGAATGAATATATACATACTTGACGTTATTACTCAATTTTTTTTTTATATCTCTGATCAAAAAATGACATCACGCGATTCCCAATCCCCTCGTCAAACTTTTATTGTTTTGTTATTTAAGTTTTGTTTGTGTGAAGCAGGGGAGGCTTCATCTAAAACTTGGATACAACTGAGTTCTCATATTTACACATTCCAAATTCATTGGATTGGATTGCGAGGGAAGGCGTAACCAAATAGCCAACACGTGAATCATCGCGCGAAATCGAGATCTCCAGCGATTTTTTTAAACATATTACTTCTAAGGGTAATCGTACTCATCCAGGGTAGTCAACGATGCGACTTTTAACATGTTCTTCACGCTCGGATCGGTGCAGCAACCGTCGAGTCGACATAGTCCTACGTTAAGCTATGACGCGAATTCGCGAAATGAAGAGTTTGTTCTATTGTAAGTTAATAATATGCGTAATGATTATGTATCGGACTGCCTTAAAGTTATAATTTAAAAGTCAGGTACTCGAACATGCAAACTCTCTACCTACAACAATGGTGGACTACCGCGGACCGCGGCCCGTGTTTGCTACCGGGTCGTACACTTTTTCCACGTTAAAAAGCATTGTAAAGTTTTTCTAACGTTAGACGCAATTTCTGTGCGTGTTGTTTGCCCGAATTTTATTATCCATTGATGAAATGATGCAAGTTTACACGAAATAATACAGTCAACAACAATACAACACCTCTAAGCAAATCAATCAATAGCAAACAATTGAATTTTTGGCCGTTATAGACTTGTGTTAGATTAGTAAGTTAACTACAAAAATGAGAACTATAAATGAGAGCACATTGCGAGTGCTCTTGAGTTCCATAATTCCAGAGTTAAAGCGCCTCGTTTCGGCATAACAAGATCAATGTTCTTGTTGCTAAATAAATATGAGTGCATAGTGCAAAAAGGTTGCCGACCCTTGGTTTACATGTTAAACTTTGCGACATTTTGTTTAAAGCAAAAATGTGAGGGGATGGGCTGCATACGGTTCGTGGGTCATACATAGATCGGATATCCAGGCCAATCAAGTTTAATATGAACTTTAGAGTCTACTTCAGAAATTCGAAAATTGCATTTGTGCACGCCGTTTCTAGCCCAGGTCGGCTCTGCGCTCTCCTCAAATAAAATATGCATTGGTTCTTGTAAAAAAATAAGCTACTTATTTCCAGGGTCAATTACTCGATAACCCTCGAAATTCTAAAAAACACGTTAAAATGTGATGACAATTTCAAGAAATAGTAGTGATTTAATATAATTTTATCTAATTCGTTATAATCATTGATGACTCAAACATTGCAGAATAGTCAACGCAAACATTTATCGCGCTTATCTACCCTCAGTTATTTGAAACAGTAAACAAATTATGGTACTCAGATTTTGACTACATTTAGCGATGTTTAATGACAATAAAATTGAAGGTCTTTCAAATAATCTCATTGTGTTCTTCAATAAATGAAGCAAAACTATTGCTTATAAGATATGCGGGAACAAACATGAATTCATGATTTATTGATTACACCACTTTGAGGGCGTTTCCACATAAAGCCGACGCCCATTTTGTTATCGAAAGGGAAGCACTTGGGTGTTGAGTTGTTTTTAGAAACGGCTGGTATATATAATACTTAGGCAAGGTAGTTCTAGTATTCGATTCAAGAAGGGTCTATCTATTTGAAAATCGCCAGGGGAATCACCACTCGGCACACAGTGGACGGACCTCGCGAAAATAACGATCGGTTGTCGCAATTCACAACAATGCAATAACCCCTCCTTCAAACCTCCTCGTGGCTTAAATTAGCATCGAGAATGTAAATCTTACCAACAGTATAATGATTTGTTCTCTTCAACTATCCATTTATTTTTCGGTATTTCAGAGAGCTATATTTCATATTCCAAGAAGAAAAGTAGAAATGGAAACATTATTGGTGCTTTTATGTGTACATTTTCGTTATACGACCTTCATATTTTCCCTTGAGTATTCATTTATTAGTCATAACCACGTGGATCAAGACAATTCGTCTTCTTAATGAATAAAACTTGGGGACGGGGCGGGCCCTCACACAGAGAAGGCAAGTCTTGGGTGTAACCAATGACAAGTTGGCTGACATGGTATATATATATAACGTATACGTGTTCTTATCAAGTATTGATGAGTCGCTCAAGTACCCAATGGACAGAGAGAAAAAACGTTTCTATGTTTGCGTTTGCGAAACTGTATCTCTTGTAGTGGAAAATTTCGTGATTATTCATTAAGTAAATATATGTATATATGAAACGTAGATATTGCGGCTAGGGAATGCGTGGGGTGTTACGGATGAACAACTAAGTGAATTCAGTTGAAATGAATCGACCGAGTACTAAATTTTCTGTTAAAATGTTTCGTGGATTTATTACCGGATCCAAGTTAATTTAGAAAAGAGACATTACCGACTAGTATTAGGTTAATACAAATATGGTACATGACTGATGATGACTGTTGATATGAAAAAATAGGACCGGCCAAAATCTATTCGGGAAAACCCAAATAACCCGGATTCCGCCATTCGAGTTTCGTCAACGTATCCAATTAACTTGAGTTTACAACAATCTGCGGTAGATATCTCGGTTAAATGATTTTGCGTATTATAGAAATTACATAAAATTAAAAAATTTCTGATGAGTCAAATGCTTTTGATCGTTCGTGTGGCATCGTCATCAGCAGGTTACTATCGATCACTCGATTCATTGATAAGAGTTTAAACGTTTAGGCGATGACGACATTTGAGTGGCCATAGTGATGGATGACACGGATGCCGCCTTTGTCTCGTTTCTCCGTTGCTAGGATACGGATAAAGGGCTATTTCAGGTCATATGCAGCGGAGCCGATTTGGCGTCGAATCGAACATAAAAACTAAGCAAAAATTAACTCACCCATAGTATGATGACGTTAGAACGACGCAAAGTATAGAATTGTTTAAAATTCAACCAGAAGCCGCATTTTCCGTAATTCCGCCACTGTGACTAAATTTATTATGTTTTAAGTGGCAGTGGAAAAAAGTAATGCATCCATATAATTTCAGTCTTTTTAGCTGAGATCTGAATTTGAAATGGCGCTGGATATTTTCAAAAATCTGCCTACTCACTTAGTTGAACAGCAAATTGAGAATCTCCATTCTCATCCTTTTTTGCGTCACAATGAGAGGACACGCCCTCCGCCTTTTCCTATTGGTCGCTCAGACATCGCCTGATAAAAAGCGAGAAATGGAATCGGATGCCGGTTAGGTTACTCGAGGTCATTATTTGAAACAATCTATGAAATGGGACTCTTTTGCTAATCGTCATCTTGTGCGTGGTGTGGTAAGCGAGACGTTCCGCCGTCCCGTTTTTGATTCGTTCTATTGGGAATAGTCCAATACAAGTTGAAACGCGTTTAAATTTTATATGAAATGTTCAAGTTGATGTGGCGTAAACGGACAGATGTTTTGATTTTAAGGAAAAGCTGCGTTTGCTGTCACGAATTAGCGTCACAACGCGTGTTACAACCGTGATCACAGACTGACAAAACGCACGCACGAAAGCATTTTTGAGGCAGCTTATTCTTGTTGAGGTAATCACATAGTTTCAGGATATCCCTAGTGACTCTGTATTAACATATTGTAATTTATATTCGCAGATTATAAGTTATTGCTATTTATTCGGCTCTAAAAGTTACGCCGCTTCCACCAAAATCAAAGAGAACGTATTAAACGTAACCTCTTTTATTTAATTTGGCTACTAGGTGTGCTGATTGACACAGATTACACCTTATTCATACCTAGCCCATAAACAAACGAAAAACTACCCGCGGATTTATCGGACACGTGGCAAAGCCGGTCTACGAGACAAGCGGAGTATTATCAATTCATTGAACGAGACCACATAATTTATCGCATGGCGGACTACTGGATTCCCGGTCAAATTTTCCTTTGGAAATTATTGTTATTGGGTAAGTTGATTGACGTAACTAACGTTACTACTGTTTACCTACAATGGTTAAGAAACATTAACAGGCTGACAGGCGCATGATGCAGTGATACAAGCGGAAATTGGCGCTTGTTTATCCGTCATATATTGACCTAGCTCGATAGTCGTTCAATTTATTCGGTATAATATGTATTAACCTAGACGACATAATCGTATATCCGGATTATTTATAATTCAATTATTTTACCTTTCAGTACAAACAACGTTTGCAACTCACTCTAGAATTGAATCGCATGGAGTTGTATGTTACGGTGTCTATGGATGTTTCCGACCATTCCACACTGCTATTAACATGCCGCTCCCGTTTTCACCGGAACGTATCAACACTAAATTTTTTCTTCACACCCTACCGGATTCTACTATACAACAACCGATAAACGACACGCGTGCAGCAGTTGCAAATTCTAACTTCGATCATACCAAGAAAACCAAAATACTTGTTCACGGATTCGCTGTAAGAATTGTTAACTATATTCTTTTTAAAACTGATACTTTCAAACTTTTGACGATATATTAATAAATTACTTATTGCTTACAGCCTACAACTACCGATGTTGCCAAATGGGTAACGAAAATGACACAAACAATCGTGGCAAAAGATGGTGTTAATGTTATTGTCGTTGATTGGGTAGGAGGAGCCGCAGTTGCATACGATCAAGCAGTGGGCAATACACGACTCGTCGGCGCTCAAATTGCTAATTTGATTCGGACGATGATGGTTAGTTAGTACTATTATAGAAATTCCTATTATTATACAAATATGTAATTTCTGTTTTCTAAATATTATTTAATTTTGTAGGCTGTTCACAATTACGATCCTAAAAACGTGCACATCATCGGATTCAGCTTAGGTGCCCATGTTGCGGGTTTTGCCGGGAAAGAGTTGATAAGACACGATCCCGACCATAAGATTGGACGAATTACAGGTACGCTGGTTTGGTATATTGTTTTCAATCATGGAGGCTGGTCATATTTATACATGTTATAATATTTATTCATTTGAATATTTGCAGGACTTGATCCAGCTAACCCTGGCTTCAACTTCGATTCGCCAGATGTACGCTTGGATAAAATAGACGCCCATTTTGTGGACGTTATACACACAGATATGAAAACGCTCCTCGTAGTAGGTGGGTCATATTTTACATTTGTTGTGCGTCTTTGTTTAAAATCTAAATATTTTATGTTCTCCATTGAATGTGAGATATAGTAGTACTAATTATATGAAAGTATTTTCGTCCGTTTTGACTACACAAATTGGAATTTTATTGTGGTGTATTGTTACAGTGTCAAAAATGTCAAATCATTATCCATTGTTAGAAGAATGTTTTTGATAAACTTATCGTGTTAAGGAACATTGCATGGGGTATAAAAAACTTGCGTTATTGTTCTTTCGGTAATTGGATATTATAATACTTTTCGAACTTTGGACAATTTAATATATAGTATTATGTGAATTCCTATAGGTGACTTTGTAATTACAATTTAGCAGTTCTTATTATATGAATATCCTTTTTTCAGCTTCTGGTCTCAATCGCAACATCGGCCATGCTGATTATTATCCCAACGGGGGCGCGAGTCAGCCTGGATGTTCAACATGGAATTCAGATTCCTCTCTCGTATCAGGTATGGTATTTTCGAACTATTTATGTATTGAAATTGTAAGTGCAACGAGTTTATTGTAGGATTGTTGATATCGGCACCAGGTTATTTGTGCGACGACCGTACCGACTCGTACGTAATATGTTCGGTACTGTTCTAAATATATCAAAATGCCGTTTGATTTTATAATCGCGATGGGATATGTATGGGATATCACGTCCCATGACACGTTCCAGGCGATCATACGACCATGTATCGTCCTTCGCGCGGAATCCTTTACGTCATTCAATGACATCAGATTACAGTGTTTCGTCGACCAATCGGAATCCAATTTCAGCCCCACCCATCGCTTTCAAGAGCGTGATTTTAATAATGTGAAGTCGTCTTATTGACAAGGTCTAATTTACGAATTCCTCGACGGTTACAAATAACCATTTGGGTTGCCATGAATTCACTTCAATTAAAAATGAAACTGTATCTCTTCGGATATTGCAAGCATAACGCATATACAAGTGTGATTAAATTTGCATACATTCGTGTTTATTCTAGTGTTCTAGTGTACACATAATAGAGTACACAATATTGCCAACGAACAATAGTAAACTTTGAAACTATGAGTCGCGTGATTAATGTTCATCCAGTGGTGTGATTTCTCGTACGATTTTTGAAAATTCCGGCCTCGTGAATCATAATTCAAATAGGTTTCCAATGTATACAAAACCACCACCCTCGTGATTTTTGTGTATATAATACTCAGCGGCCATTCACGTGTCTTTTTTATTTGTGGTTTCATTGGTTTGGTTACCAAAACTCTTTTGATGACACTTAACAATCGCTGAAAATGATAGGAAGACACTTTCTCATAAATGACTATTGGAAGACAGCGATACTCCGATTTCCTTTAAATGTGGGTCAAAGATTACCCACTATCACTCAGGAGTTGTCAGCTTCACCGTTGTGTATCATTGCAATGTTTAAAAGATAATTTGATGTTTGTCTTATCTTGAATGGGTTTTCGGAAGTCGTGTAATATATGACGTGAGTTTATTTTAATGCGTTATAATGCTTATCGCTCGCTAAGTAATTCACTACAATTCGGCACAGTTAGCAAATATTAGTATACTGTATACATACACAACAATATTCGTCCTTGAATTAAAGATTCGATATACTTATAATAATTTGCCTCCGGGTGGTGGATGGTTCACCGAAACAAGTTTTCGATCATTTCTGTAAGGCTTCCTCGATAGACCAAGTGCTTAAAATTATAAATGTATTTAGGTTTAGGCCTTTGGCGTTTTCTACCATTGCCTTCCACAGGGTTACCTTGGTACACGCGATTTTATAAGCTCGCGCTCATGTCTACGCTAAAGCGATTATTGAATGGTGTACGCGAGGTCATTCTTACTACGGAATGTCGCCTTCGAGTGCCTTGTCATCGACAGTTGGTTGAGCTATAATATTTTACGGTCCCGGTAATTTTCCAACTCTACTATTAACACAAATTCTCGTGACCTTAGAGCGTTCTTTATTTGGTTTGTGAGCCAAACGCTCCACCCGTAGGTTGGGATATCAAGCGTGTCTGGTAAAATTCCTGGGACAATCAACCAAGCATACTGAATGTACAGCAGTAACAGACGAACAGCGGAAAAGTATTTTCGACTTTTCTTTGAAATCGGTGAATAACGCTAACGGCGCCGAGAGTTCGCTTTGATCAATGGTCCATACAATACTGAGTATTGGTAAACGCATGCGATTAGGTCGTGTACGATTGTAACCTCAGTCGAATAACCCAACATGTAGGATGAATTGGCGCGCGGAACCGGCGGCAGTCATTATTTGAACATAAATAACGAGTCAATAAGATTAAATACCGGCCGCCATTTTGTTTTTGCGGTTGGCTTTTTTAGTGGTTTTGTACACTCGGTTTAACACTTCACCTAGTACACTTAATTACATGGTTAACAAAACTAGCTTCTGTTAATTTTTAAAGAACTCGAAAGACATTTGCCAATGTATTACGTTTGTTATGTAGGAGTGTTGATTTCATAGCGGTCGTGTCAATTAGGTTCGTTGCAGCATGCGTTGTGTCTACTGTCTACAAAATGCACAACCGTATAGCCACAAAAAAATCACATTACTATCATGACATATTTTCATGATAACAGCGTGCGTTCTACATGGTGTTTTGATGTTTATGCTTACGGAAAGGCTAATCTAAATTAAAACGCCGGTAAAATGAGACGGTTCTCGGTATTTTATTTATTGCTAACTTAAAGGTCAGTGTTGTGTGAAATCGCTACTTTATATCAAAATATACCCGCTTGTCATCGCGTTTCGTTGTCAATTAAGACACTTTTACAGATATCTTTTGTGGCCGGAAGATGAACTTCTCGTATGTCTATATGCGGCGTTGTTTTAAAATATACCTTTAATATTGTCATTAACATATGGGCCCTTTGGGACTTTTGCAGTCGTTTTCTGGAATGTCTCCATAATACATAATTTATTTGCGGTGTGAACGTGCCGTTCCTGTCGGAAACAATGTGAATTTATCCCACTCATAAATATTATCGCAAGTCAGAAAAATATCCAGGAACAAACAGCGGAATGTTTGGCATGCCATTCGACGATTACTGACTATTGAGCTTTTCGTATCATAGCAACGATCGTTCGGGACACGTTTGGGGGGTTATAATCGGTCAAGTAATACTACTATGGTACGATTGTATCATGCGATTAGGATAAAAACGCCTGTAGTACAAAATTACGTGACGCATTTTCTCACGTATAAAGCCATGAGGCAGGAAAACGGAAACCTTCGAAGTTCCGTATCTTGACATGTATCTCAAATATCGTGATTTCGAATCCTGATTACGCATCTCATTTTGTATCTTATTTTTTGTACTTCACTTTTATTTCGTTACGTAATGATCGAAATTAAACTGAATACTCTATTGCCTTTCCTTGTATATCGAGGTATTTTATATGCTGATTATATATTTTTCGTTTTCAGCCGTCACAGACATGACTGTGTGTGATCACATCCGAGCTCCGAAACTCTTCATGGAGACCATCAACGCAACCGACGAATGTGATTTCGCCGCTTACAGATGTCCAAGCTATCAACAATTCAAGGTTAGATAAAAGTTTTATGATTGTTTATATTTTAGGGAGTTTTGGGGAGTTCCAATATACGATTAAGCTACAGTATATCCGCTCTTGCACCTGTTGTAGAATTTGATCACAAGTTTGTTATCTGTTTGCCTACGAATTCGTGGAATAAAGCAAGTTTTGTTCTTTTTTCAGGAGGGACGATGCGTGCGATGCCGAAGCAGAAAAACTAAAAAAGGCGGCAAAAATCGATGCAACAAAATGGGTTACTGGGCTGAACCACCGACTGTAAAGAAACAAGTGAAATACTACCTCGATACCAGCGACGCCGCTCCTTATTGTGGTAAGTTTTTTTTATTGCTTTACTCTCTCAAATCGAAACGAATCCTCAAATTGTGTGTGAATGGTTGTTTTACTCGCTCTTATAAGCAAGCTTAGTAGTAAAATACCTTTTTTGTCTGTTCAGCAAAACATTACCAAGTGATGTTGCATTGGCGTAAAGGGCCTGGCAGTACTAAAGCCGGATTCAGAGGCTCCATTTATGTGACATTGCATGGCGATAAAGGCAGTACAAAGGAATTCGCACTCAACGAGTAAGTGGGACTAACTCATAATTAGCGTTTGTTAATTGTATATTGTATTTTCGATACTCATCAATTTTATAATTGGATTATCATTTTCTCCTCGACTGTGACCCAATGTAACCTGCGTGTAAAATGGCGTGATGAAAATTTTGTGTTAAATTTGTTGACCTTGACAATGTCTCGTTATCTGAAATATTTGTGTATTCAATATTTAAAGTATATTAAGTTGTGGTATTCAGTCATTAACCTCGTCTGACCTCGGTTTGTTTATTTTTCATCTACAGTGGCGTGACTTTCAACATTGTTCCCGGAAAAGCGTCCAGGTTTTTGGTTAGCCACTCATGCAGCGAAGATATCGGCCACGTCGATCGCGTCACTTTTCGATGGGAAAGACCAACATGTTGGACTTATTTCTTTTGTTCGACCGAAAACGTCTATTTGAAGAGGGTTAAAATCATCGATGCAATGGCACAAAAGAGGTAAGATTGATAAAATTTAGTTTAAGTGAATATTTAAAAATTATCTCGTTTTTTAAACTGCGATATAATCGTTGTGGATGTTGCATTTTGTCAAATTCACTTTTTTATAATAATAAATAATAATAAATTTTCTTTTTGTTTCAGGCACATATTTTTACCTCTGGAAATGGATAAAAACGGCGACGGACGCAAAGACATAATCGAAATTCAGCCTGGTGCAACTCAAGAACTTTTCCGAAAATCGTACATCAGATCGCGGCATCCGGAAAGCATGAATTCGCAAGCAAAAACAAAAGCACCCAGACTCCCCACGGTGGTACCGCCCGTGATTTCACCGGGACACAAGAATAATGCACACAGTGCTAATAAAGGACGATTATTAAGCAAAGTTGCCGATCACAGAAGGCAGCATATGAAAGAAGAAAAAGACAATATTAATAATGATAATCAAATCCAATCGGACCTTTTAAATAATTCTCATGACACGTGATCGTTTTCAACGTGAAATATATCAAATTTATTACAAAGTTGGGGACGCCAGCCATGTCAATATTTGATACCTAGCCCCTCGTATAGCAAATTTGGTGACAGTATATAAGAACACGCAACATCTGTATATTGTCACTTATTACTTTTTTAGGGAATCTTTCATTTTTTCAACACCGCTTCAGGCGCATAATCGGTAGTTTGGGTACGGTGCTCACGGTGTTAGATAGTATTTTTTATTTAAAAATAAATTATTACTGTTGCATTTGAAATATCTATTCTATATAAATAATATTTGTCCCATTGAATTTGTGAATAGTTCCCATTCTGTATTTTCTGTGCTATTTATTTATTTATTAAAATTTTTGTTTTTTGGCCCTTAAATTTTCATTTTCAAAATCATTTTTTTCTTCTATTTATTTATTTATTGGTCAGCCAAGCTCGCAAAGAATGTCATCTGTACCAACTGGCGATCGATCTTTACGATACAATATTTTTTAAATAAGGGAATCGTCGATTGTAGAACTTGAACGAACTTGGTCACTGTGAATTCGACTTGCTTCATTTCATTTTTTTCTTGCGCAAATTTATAGGAAAATTGTAGGAATTAAATATTAACGTTATTGCTCCGATTATAGATTATATCAATTTTTTCCATGCTGTATAAGTAATCAGCACAATATTATATAATAGTTGTGGTAATATATTTTTCACACACATCCTAGTTCAATTTGACTTTTGATTTATCGTAGTTGCCTCTACGTCCGATTTTCTGATGTGATTTTTTTTAATAAAAATTTTCTTTTAATAAGCTGCGTGATGAACTTTGTCTCGAGATAGAATGTTGACTTTACGTAGGCCGGCTTTTCTTTACAAAGAAAATCTTCTCGTACTCGTCGTCCGTCCCCACCCTATGTGAACCCTTCATTGTTCAGATCAAATCGATTGTTTGCGCTGCCTTTGAGGCCAAAAATATTTTGTAACCTTAGTACTTATAGTATTGTGATAAGTCCACACGTGCCGATTTAGGGATGTTATGGCGCAGCAGGGAACAATTTTGTTTCCGAAAATAGATGATGGGGACGAATAATCCGATTCAGACTTCGTACCATAGGTGTTGGGTGGGTGGTGGGCAGGAACCGTGCTCTCATAGTTGAGGCTATATTCAAGACGGTTCATTACAGGTCATTTTTTGGAAATCAGCTAACGTCTCTGCGATAGGTTAAGGATGAAACGACAGCTTGACTGCCTCTTCCTAGCCCCCTAATACACTGCCTAGCCTCTAATAACGGCATTGGAGAAATATACGAGGAATTCCACTAATTAGAACAACGCGAATATTCAAGTGCACTATGTATTTCGGCTCCAAATTTAATAAATCCTCTATTCTATGCATATGGACGTGTTTTCCCTTTTTTATCTTATGTATTCAGAAACTTCTTTCACAAACTAGGTGTATTACTTTTCAAATCGTGTTTTAAATTTGGGAAGTAATATCCACATATGGTGTAAGATTAGAACAATGTCTCGCTATAATTAGATCTTTAATCTGCATGAAAATATGAAGAGGCGAAACATTCCTATCGTCGTGAATTCAAAGCCGTGGGGATTTGTAGATCTTGTCACCTTTTGCTGGACTATTCCGTACTACCAATGAAAGTCCCATGTTTTTGTTGTGGAATTGTACAAATCTCTTTCCTTTGTTGCTTTAGATTGTTTAGTTTAGATTAGAACAATAAAAATATGAAGCTTTTTTTTGAAATAAAAACCTGTTATACCCAATATTTCATATAAGTCATAGCGTATTTACATAGAAGTGGAGGAATAATTCTATGCCATAAAATTTACTGCTCTATCAACAGATTTTAACGAGTTAGTTATCAAAATTTGACATTTAAAATGTTTTAAAGCCGAAGGTCATGTCTAGAATCTTTGAATTTACTAAAAGTGTTAACGTTAGGTCGTACATATATATCTACTTTTGTCATAAAAAAACTAGTTGCCGTTTGCAGCATCTATGCTTTAGACTTAGAAATATCACTCGACAATACAAGGGTGGCGTAATATCTTCGTATTCTTGTAATAACGTTGATTTTCTCCAGCGAGAATCCACCACTTCCCACAATTATAAGGATATATTCTCCGTGAAACAATATTGACACCTAACGGCAAGCAAACTTGTGAGAATCCCGATCCAACGTTACCAGTTCATCATTTTCTGTGCTTTTTCTCAATAGATTTATATTCCTATGTAAAATACTCACTTTGATTTCGATTAGAAAATGAGATTGAGTTTTCATATTCAGCCTGTCCAGAAGTAATGCCGACCAAATGGCTCAGATTAATCAATGACATTAAACAACATGATGCGCAACTCCGGCATTTTTGGCCGAAGATCGTATTCGATAACACGCTCCAATGCACATACTTGACGAGACGAGAACGAGCGGATGTGTGCTGTTTTCAAGGCATAGCACGAATGGTGTTCGTGCCTGCTTTGACAGTTGTTGTCGATTTTAATGATATTTTGGAAAGTTGAGTTAAAAAGAAATCGGAAAAAGGTAAGATAAATACTATTGTTGTATATCACACCCGGGCATCGCACTATTAAGTGCATGTGGGAAAGCCAGCTTTTTCAAATACTACAAAGTTATTAATTCAGTACGGTACGTAGTTGCCCATTTGCCGAAATTGCATATTTACTTACCACTTATGGTTTCAAATAGTTCATGTACCTCCATTTAGATTTTTCTAACCAATGGGGATATATACGTATTGCCGTAACATACTATTGCTCAATCACTTTTATTTGCGTATTGATTCAAAGGGTTAACAAGTTCACCTAACATTTCACCCATACCGGTCTATATTGTATAGTATGATCTCTCAAGTATATGAAGCCACGAATGCCTGTAATTTTCGGACTAAACCCCTTCATTAGTTGGTTTATATACCAAATTAAGTAAAACATTTTTTACATTTAACATGAGATATTGGATTTATTAACTTTTCCATTTTAAATCATATAGACTGCTTTAAATATTCTTGACGAAAATTAATAAATCTCCTCTCTTTCTTCAGACGTGAATGTTGTGGACAAATCTGTACAAGCATTGTGAGATTCCTGTAGCACAAGAGGCAATAGCAAAAATAGTAAGAATATCAATCAAGAAATTAAGTCGACATAGAGCAAAACTTTCAACTATTCGTCTAACCTCAATTTCCCATTATTCATTCACAGGACAACTGTAGCAGACGGGGAGATATCAGAAGTCTGGCGAAATTCCAAGAAATACAATTAGAGTACTCCATAAGTGTTTGCAATAGAAGAACAACCTATGGAGGCATGCAAAGACATTTGACCCTCCGGTAGAGTTGTGTATGGGTCTTATTTGTAAAAAGGCACAAAACACGCCAGACATACTGAAAACAGCTTTGGAAATGTAGATTATGGGTCACTCACTACACCATGTTAGAATTGGTTCCATAAAATTTTGTTAGTACTATAGAAGAAATTCAGGGAAGGGTATAATCATGATTCATGATAAAATACTGTTCAATATTTTGGACAACTTCAATATAGACCAGGGATGTCAAACTCGCGGCCCCAGAGAACTTCCAGTGCGGCCCTCGAACGCTAAACAATAATTGTAATAGTTTTTTAAAAGTTTTTTTAATCTAAATGTAAAAGATTTTTCCAATTTTTTGAAGTGAAATTGATTATTCACGCAAAAAGCAATTTACTGAAAGTAGTTTTGGAAAATTATTATTTTTTTGTTCACATTTTGACCCAATTAAGAATATACACATCAAGCTAGCAAAAGAATACTTGAATAAAACATTTGAGTGGATAAATTAAATGCAAAGTACATGAAGAAGGTGGCATTTTCGAAGAAAAATGGGAGTTACAATATTTCTGCATTTCTCAAAATTCTGAAGCACATTGTTTTTGTTTTGTCATATTTCCATCAGTACAATGAAATAACACAATAAACTCAGCAGTCAATATGACAAATTCAAAGACCAACTTCGAACAGAAAATTTCCATGTGTTTGTATATTAATACAATTATACAACGACTTAGTTTACTAAAAATCAATATCACCAATAATTCAAGCAATTCAATGCCACGCAATGTGGCGCAAAATTTCTTGTCAAAAAAATCTGTCATTTGTTTGTTTACTGATCTATACGCTTTCTTGCATTACTGGAATTAATTAAACATTCTCGCAGATCCATATTAACCCATGATCATGTGACCTCGTTAGTTACTATAAGAGTTGGTACTATAAAATCATTTTAGCCTGGCCTTAGTATGCTGGTGACACAAAAAAGTTGTCAAACGTCAGGACAAATGTAATTGAGTAAGCATTGAGTTTATACTACAGTATTTTTGTTAATTTTAGGTCCATATATTTAGATTAAGTCATTCTTAGTGTATGTATCATTCTTTTCTTATCCAAAGCTTGTTCAAAAATGATTTTGATGGTTGTTCATAGAATTTTATGATTTTTTTGTAATAAATACAGTAACTTGCAATAATAGTGGAATGCAAATATTAATATGTAGTTGCATTTGAAATTAGAGAAAATAATAGAACTTAATCCAACTGTTTAATTGCATCACAATATATGTCACAAACTAAAACTATCTTAAAAATATCTTTTAAGTATACATAATCAAAAACTGTTTGCGGCCCTTTTTACAATTTCCAAAATGCGATGCGGCATATTGTATGACTTGTATTTGCTGTCGCGATGTATTATCTCAATGTGTCAAACTTTTAATTAGTGTGCATATTTTGCTTCCAGGTGACATGAATGTATTGTCTTGTTTATTACCTCAGCTTGGAGTATTGACAAGAAAAAGGTGCCAGTAAATTACGTAAAAAATTTTTTAACATTTTGTTATAATCAGAATTCACAATTAATAGAAAATATAAACAGCCAACAATCAATGAGAACTATATGCAAAATTCCTCAGATTAAATTTGTCTTCTAAAATCGGAGGAAGGCAAAAGATATAGGTAGTTTCCATTCATACAAGTCTTTCAAAAAGACTTGCTCGAGCCAAACTAAATGAGCATCATCAGGTGATCGGTAAGGCTGCAAGTTGAATTCAGCCCTGCAACCTCCTGCATAGACGATAATATTAATTAGTGGGCTATGAGCTAAATTCCTAAATTTAGACACAAACATATCTACGAGGCATTATGTACCATCAATGTTAACTACGATAAAATGAATATGTAATATGTCTAATAAACTCACCTACTAAAGTAAATTCAATGGGTGCAAACTTTGTGTTATGGAATTGTATCACAGCACCGTTAAGAGAAGTATAAACAGTCTTGCTGTTTTGTAAGAAACCCTCTTTAAATAAAATTTCAATGTTTAAGTACAAACATTAAAACTAGTAACTTTGAATTTTGTCATTATCTGCAAAATGTTCCACACAAATCTTTACACTATCTCGTTTGTAATCTTCTCTGATAATATAAAAACGTCTATGATGTCCAGAATTACTCTGCTTAGCTTGTCTGCCATTCCAGCTTTCCAAGTGAGCAAAACTTCTTGGATTTAATGATTATTTTCTTTCGTCACAGGCGCAAAAAGGCAGATGCTACACGTAAAGAAGGCGCCGAGTAGCAAAAGCGAACGGGAAACGGTCTCGAAAGGCGACGATAACTATGTGCATTGAAGCGTATCATGAAATACAATCTTTCGCGTGTAGTCTTATGGAGTGACGTCAGAGTTGCCTATCATGTTGTTTAATGTCATTGGATTAATTATGAGGCAAACCGCGGGGTAG